TGGCAGTAAAGGGTTAACCCACAACTCTGGTAGGAATAGCATTATGAATAAGAGGACGCTTGTGCCGGCATGGCAGCAAAGGGTTAACCCACAACTCTGGTAGGAATAGCACACCACGGCGTCAGAAAGGCGCTAACATCCCTCGGAAATAGTTAGTTTCAAGTCTATTATTTCCTAAGAAGGGAAATGCGCGCCGTGACTCGAAGAAATGCGGTGTCGGATTGCCGGTCCGCAATCAAGTTTTTTTCGGCGCTGCGGTTTGCGTAGTGCGGTTGACTACGACAATTGGAATCGCTACTGCAATTGACGGCGGGGTAATGAGGGATCTTCCTGTTCCTGTGTGGCTAATTAACGGCCTGATTCTGCTTAAGTATACGCTGCCTTAATGAGGTGTCTAGTAAAAGTGCGTGCGACTTAAATAGAAAGAATTTAACAGAGCATTGATTGAAAAAATATCGGTGCGTCGTCGGAGGCTAATTCTTTTTAGCCAATTGCCAATTTGACGCTGGCGTCAAAGTTCTCCCAGTACTCGATACACCGCCCAGTATACAGTACACAGCCCAGTATACAGCACACAGCCAATATACAGCACACAGCCCAGTATACAGTGTAGCGGTAAGCATTCGTACTTTATTAATGTTTTTACTGATTTTGTTCATTTATTTACGTCTTCCTGTGATTTTAATCTAGAGATATCCGAAGCCTGCATCCGGAGAATAGGTTTTACTAATGGCCATTACTGTCCCAGAACCCACACTGGCAAGGAGTCTGAATCGTGACCCGGATTTGTGAAATATACTGTACGCACTTAAGGATTAAGTGAACTGTCATTACCCAAAGGAGATAGACAACTGAGAACCTGGGGCGGATCCCTCACAACAGTACACAGCCCCAGTATAGAGCACACAGCCCAGTATACAGTATTCGTATCGCGCTCCACTCAAGCGAAAATCTGATTTGCACGTTCACATCAAAGAGCTTTTCGATTACCGACTCCCACTTTGATCTTGCCTTGTGAACGGGGAAGAGGGGGGAAGCTGGAGGGGGAGGAGAAGAGAGGGATGGAAGGGGTTGAAGGGGAGGGGGTAGGAGAAGGTGAGGGAGATTGGAGGAGTAAAAATGTGGAAAAATTAAAGTTGCAGCTGAGGAAGCTGGGCAGAGAGAATTGAGCTGCAAGTAGGAAGTGGAGAGGGATATTAGAGTGGAAGTGAGGGGGAGAAGAGAATTGAAATGAGAGGTAGAAAAGAAAGGAAATGAGAAGCAGAAGAAAAAAGAAATGAGAAGCAGAAGAGAAGAGAAATGAGAGGAAGACGAGAAGGTAAATGAGACGGAGAAGATAAGGGAAATGAGAGGAAGTACAGAAGGGAAATGAGAAGGAAAAGATGGAGGAAAGAGAAAATGGGAGAGAAAAAGCTAATAAATGCCGAGAAAGAATGATAAATATGTATTAGGAGAAAATCATTATGACATGGAATGGCTAATTTTTATTAGATATCGAAGTACTGACTATAGAATACAGCAAAGGTACCAGAAAGCAGAGAACAAAACAAAGGTTAAAGATAACACTTCGAGTGTTATAGCACAGGATCTATATATTATCCGATCTTTCTCAAGTTTTTCGGTTCTTTCAAACTTGGCTTCAAGTTGCTGTTTTTTCCTTCTGTTTGCATTTGCATGTCTACTTATCTTTCCACAGCCACTCCTATCATCCTCTCTTTGTTTTAATTTTATTTTTTTCACATTAGAAACATGCAGACTGTACGATCAGTCTCTTTCCTTAATTCAACAAAATCGACCAAATTGTTGACAAGCTTCAAGCCTTTGTTGTCGATGCCATTATACTCGATTTAATTTCTAATTACATCCCATTTAATTAGAACGTTAATCTATTCAGACTCTCAATTAATTAAAAAAATATTTAATTCTATTGTACAACTTCAATCACTAATGTGGGTAGTTTAAATCTACTTCCGACGCACGTGCTGATTCTTTCGTATATTTATAATCGGATGCCAAATCATCGCTAATCGATCATTTTGCATTATTCAGTCTCTCCTTCTCACTTCAATTGTGGTATTTTTACAAGGAACTGCTCTAAATATTCACCATCAAGTGAGGAAATTTTAATGGGCTGGTGACATGTGGCCGTACTGGGCCGCTGATCTTCCACCGATACGCCACCTATAATTTTCCGAAAGGTCATTGGGTTCGATTCAACAAGTCCCTTTGTCTTTGGTTTGCTCGAGCGCAGCTAATTTCACGCTCAGCTTGTGACAAGCTTACCATGTCTTCAGTCAAATTAACAAATTAACATGTCTTAAATCTTATTGTCATGTTTTAAGCAATATTAGCATGTCTTAAGTCATATTAACATGTCTAAAATACTATCGATATGTCTTACGTCATATGTTTCAAGTCATATTATGTCTCAAGTCTTATTGCAATGGCTTGTTTAATATCATAGACATGGCACTGTGGCTCCAGTCAAATTATTATATCTTATGTCATTTTAGTTTTCGCATGGCAGGTTTTGTCTCATATCATGTTATGATGTTTGACGTTATTTTACGACGTCTAAAGTCATATTACGATGTTAAAAGTCGAGCTTTGGTGGCCCAAGGTACGATGTCTCGATCATGTCATGTATTTGAAAATAGTAAAAACAACTCATATTATTATTGCCACCATTGCTTGTTTTGGAGTTATCATTGCCTTCAAGGCGGCCGCTGATAAGCCTCCAATGCTCCGTAATTCCTTCCACTTTGGACAACTGCCCTACAAATTTTTTTCGTAAAATTGAAGCAAATTTACATGAAGCAAATTAGATTACTTCTACTCTGACATGTTTGTTTTAAGGTTGTTTTATCTCCCTACTTTTCTAATGAGAACCTTCATCCCATTTCCCCCTGGGGATTGTCTCGTCGCTGTTTGGCTTGTGAATTTCTTAGCGATTCCCCAGGGGGATTTCTCCCTACTTTTTCCGCCTGCATTTGCTCCCTCAAACTTTTTAGGAGTATTTTTTCTAATAATTTTATTCTATTCTATCATACAGATTTTCAGTTCTTTCGTGTTGTCTGGTGGAAAAATTATGCAATTTTTCGTGTCATTCCACACTTTTTTACTTCAGCTACGCGGTTGCGACAAATTTATTTACTGTGAATGTCACATGCCAGTCGAACTAAACAACATTTATTTGATAAACGTTTGTCATCCATTTCGTCCTTGTGTCCTATTCCGTCCTTGTATCCTATTTCGTCCTTGTGTTCTATTTCGTCCTTGTGTCCTATTTCGTCCTTGTGTTCTATTTCGTCCTTGTGTTCGATTTCGTCCTTGTTGCTCAATTTGTCTCTGTCGTTCCTTTATTCTTTTTTTTTTCATTTGTTGTGCTCGAAATCAAAATTAAGGAAGGGATGGATGAGGAATATGAATGGTGAGATAACCGCGAAAAGGCTTTGAAAGTCCCATGTCATAATGATTAAAAAGAAAGTATGGAGCGAGCAGAGATATAGCCGCGTGCTAGACCAGTTTTAGCCGTGTACTAGACGAGTCTTAGCCGCGTGCTAGACGAGTCTTAGCCGTGTACTAGACGAGTCTCAGTCATGTACTAGACGAGTCTTAGCCGTGTACTAGACGAGTCTTTACCGTGTCTTTACGCAGTCTAGTTTGTCTTTCCGTGAGCAGCCTGAGTTTGGTGCAGTGAATAATAGAGGAGTGGGGTTTTTAGAGAGGTTTTGCGTGACAATTGCCCACTCTATTAGAGTGCTGAGCATTTACGCGGTTATTGATCGCAGTCTTGCAGCGTAATGCTCAGGAAAATGTATGGGGCATGTTGTCCAAATCGTGATGCGCTCTCTCACCCACAGCTCGAGCAGAGCGCGGTCGTAGCACTGATACGTTCTGTTGCTGGGCAACACTGGGTCAGGTTGACACACAAAAGAGCAGAATGTGAAATGCGATTTGTACAAATCTCGCTCGTTTCTCTTAATGCATGCGTAATGTCATGAGTTTGGATCTAATGTCCATCTTTTCAGTCCGTATTATTGTTCATAATAAGTGGTGTGGGTGATTGTGAAGTTTAGGCTACGCGTATATTAAGCATGCCAGTCTCTCTGTGGTCGTCGGAATGAATCAATCAATGCGACATTCTTTCGTTCCGTGTCATCCGACACTCAGTTTTTGTAGCTCAATCACATGTATTATTTGACTTATTCAGCTTTAAATTGGGTGAATTTTAAAGGTTGGCATTATCAGTTTTAAATTTGAATAACCTGCAAACTCTCAAGCTTCTAGAATATTTATATAGGCCTAAATTTTGTTATTCATTATTTTCCGCTTCATGGTAGGCCTATAAGTCAATAGCTAATGCATCTTCCAATAATTTTATTTGTCTTCAGACATTGAAGCTTTGTGGGACAATTAAGCTTTTCAAATTGAATAAACAGACGACCTGAACTTCTGCGTTAAAAATTCATTTAGAATTTCGAAATAATAAATATATAAATGTAAAATTCATCAGCCAGCCCCTGACCATTACGAGGTGGTCGAATTCGTAGGAAATTGCAGTCCCAGCTCAGTAAGTTTAGTCGAGCAATGTTTAATATTAGTGATGTTTGTAGCTTGCAAGTGTGAACCAAAGTTAAATTTTGGTTGAATCATATTACATATTAAGTTACTTTATTGTTTTAAACACTTCTCCAAATTTTTTTTTTCTAAAAATGTTAAAATTTTACTAGTTTCTTCTCAAAGTTTAATTGAATGTTGAAGCAATTCAAATTTCCTAATTATATAATCATGAAGAAAGTCTGTTTGATCAAATATTGCATTACAAGCATTTACTTTCAAAAACTCTTGATTCACGAATGTATTGTCTAAATCAATGTTAATTGCCCCCCCCCCAGACTGCAGACAAGATCGGACTAATCAAAATTCCATATTTTATAAATCATGAACTGTAGATTGTCTCTCTCCAAATGTTTTAAATAAATTTACATGTCCCCCAGACGGCAGACAAGATCGGGCTGGGCGCGGGGGGTGCGGGCACTTCGCTCTTCTCGCTCTACAACAACGGTCAGCACTTTGCCCAGCCTCCACCCGCTCACATGGGCATCACCCCATACCCCATAGACCCTAAAGCTGGTATGAGATCGATATACCTACTGCATTCCGGCCAATATACCTGCGTTATACCTGCTATATTCCACCATATGCAACCTCTATTATACCTGCTTTATTCCTCAAATAAAACTTATTTTGCGCCTATCATGTGTTGCCATAAATAACCTCCATTAAACCTGCAACCTTCCGTTTTATAAACTTCTATTAAACCTGCTTTATTTCAATTTGAATCTCTAATATATATCTGCTATATGCTGCCTAATACCTGTTCATATCGGCTACCGAAGCTTCTATTTTCTTCCTCTTATACCTTATTTCTTTGTACATTTTCAAGCCTGCCTTCATTTCCACTTCGGTTCTTCTCCATATTCCACATATGTTTCTTGCTCAAGTTGTTATAAATTGAAATTTATTTTTAATTCGTTTTTCCCTATAATCTTTCCCTATTGTGGAGTTTTATCTCTGTTTGCAGAATTCTTAACACGTTGACTACGATTGCTTCATCTCGTACAATTATTTCATTTTTTGTACTTTTTTTAAGCAAGGTTGCCAGACGGTCATTTTTTCCGGACAAATTCCGTGATTTAGTTTTTTTCAATTGCGTTGGCCGACTAAAATTTATGATAGGGGTACTTCCTAATTAAATTTTAAATACTGCAAAATGAAAATAAATGGAATTTTTATAACGTCACCTACAAATAAACTAGTATACATTGAATTAACGGCCTTTTTTGGCCTTTTTTGTTCTCGGATTTGGCCGATTTTAGGCAACCTGAATTATGTACCACTACCTCCTGGAGAAATACATTTCGTGGTACGCATATGTACCAATATGTAGTCAACGTGTTAACGTCTACTAATTCATCTTATATTCTTGCATTAAAATTCATTTTTATATTTGTTATTTCCATTTGAAATTTTCCTTCTCATTTTTTCTTTTGTTCTAAGTTCTCAAAGATTCAGTTACGTCAAAAAATTAATTTTGGCATCCACTTTGCAAAATGCAATTATTGGACTCCTTTAGTTTTTTTGTTTTTCAGTTAATTACTGCATACATTTCTCCATTGAAAAATATCACTCATATTTTACTCTCCTAAATGCATTTATCCTCAATGCATTTTCTTGTTTTACTTTTCGCCAGAAAAATTTCCTTTACTATTTATCTTCCCATGTTTATTTTTCCCACATTTCATCTTCCTCTATAGAATTCCTTGATCATTCCTACAGACATTTTATTATTACTCCTGCATTCTCTTTTTAACTATTATGCCCATCCGCTTGCTTTCATTCTTACCTGGTATAATTTTTTCCCATGTTTCTCTTTATATATAATCAAACGATCATTATTCCTGTTCCTCGCAGATGTTTCTCCTGCATTAATCATATTCAGGAAGCGCGCCCTTCATTTTCTATGCATGCAAAATTTTTTATAATTACGGTGTGTTTTGCATCGTTTGCTTGACGATTTCCCATCTCCCTGCTGAATTCCTGTAAGATTCCTGTTCGTCCAGTTGAATACTTAAATGGTTCTTTTTCTCCCTGCTGAATGCTTAAATAGTTTCTCTTCTCCCTGTTGAATTCCTCTACGATTCTTCTTCTTCTTGCTTCATTCCTTCACGATTTTTTCCTCAGTGAAATTCTTCTATGATTTTTTTCCTCCCTATTCAATTCCTCCTCTTTCCCTCGTTTGCGACACAATTCCTCCACTGTTTATTCATTATCAGCATTATTCCTCCTGTTTGCCCCTTTTTTGTTGTCGTCCACACATTGCCTACACATGCGCCGCCTGTTTGACTATGTTTAAAAAATAACGCAAGCTGCACTCTACACGCAGAAAAATGAATGGGTCATTTTTTCAAATATTGGCACAATTTCTGCAGTTAGCACTGATACGCCCCCCTAGTAAAATTTATTTGAATATTAATTGAGAGAAGCGTTTAAAACAATAAATTAACTTAAATGTGAGTGATAGTCATTGTGTCTTGTCAACTGTATCAGGATGACCCAGATGAGGGAAAAAATGCATTGTTATTTTGACAAAGTCTCAATCATTTCTCTGTGTGGTCTAACCATTGTTTTTACGCCTAAATCCATTAACACAAAAGAATCCATCAAGCAGCATTCGATAACAATAAATCAAATCAAAACAATTCAGCAGCATTCGATAACAATAATCTTTTAAAATTCATCTACAAAAGAAAAAAGCACATGGTATAATATTCATGAATTAAATTTCTAAGAATATTTTAGGATAGAAAAAATTCTTTCTGATAGCCTTTTTTTTTTTGTCGGCAGGGCTGAGGCCGCCCGTGTACCCCTTCACAGCGTCGCAGTACTCGTACCACCTCGGCGCTGACTTCACCCAGATGGCTACTTGGTGAGTCATCGTCAGCTGGTGCTACTTTTACCTTATATAATGTTATTGTGTCAAAATTAAATATATATAATTTTAAATATCATGAACTTGCTAATGTGCGTGTAAGTTCGGTTAAAAACTTTTTATATTGAAATTTACATTCGTTAGCAAGGTTTTTTCTTTCATTTATATATTTGTTTTATCAGAAACGTAATCCAGGCACTTTTAATTTATTGCATACAGTCAAATAAATTCAGTTGCATGGTTTATCTACTCTTTTTTAAGGGAAAAAAGTGATGTATTAATTAAATTTTGATTTGATCAAATTATTCATCAATTAGTCGTTAATTATTTGATTAATTAGCCCCGATACAGTTAATCAAAAATCGGAACGAAATCAGAATAAATTCATAAGTAAGGCTCTAACTGAGATGATTTTATTCATTACATAAAATCTAATTCCCTAATTAATATTGATAATTATAATAATATTATCAATTTTCACACTAATAATAATGGGTTGCATCCAATTTCAAAGGAATAAGTGACAAAAATATAATTTTGTCACATTACATCGAACCGAGCCGTACACCATTCATTAACAGTCAATGTAGCGATCGAACGAAATATACTTGAATGTTCGGAGTAAAGTCCGTAGAGTTTTCCCATTGAATTTTTTCATCCAAATTTCTATTTTCCAGAAGTGCAGGTATTACCTCAATTGTTTAAAATACACAATGGTTTATGAATGAATTTTGGCAGTTCCTACTGAAAAACTATACATATGTCGTACTTAACGTTCATTGTTCATTATATTTAACATCTATTTCATTCATTCTCAGGTTCACGACCCCGTCGCTGATGCCCCCACACCCGGGGCTCACTCCCCCTCTCCCCCACTCCCTCGTCGCCTCCCCCAAAGCGGCGGATCTCCCCCACTCCTCCCACGACAACCACAGGTTAGCCCCCCTTCTTTAATCGCATTCAATGCTTTTATTTTGCAACTATCATCGCTAAGAATATCATTTGAATAATCATTACTGTTATAAGAAACATCAAAAATTTTGAAAGCATTTTTTATTCCACTGTATTTTTCATTATGATTTTGTTTTTGGCGTTTTATCTTTCCACAAGTTTATCCATTTTCTTTGGGCTTTTGCCTATCATTACTTATTCTCAATTTATTCCCAATTTGTGCCCATTCATATTTAGTCTCACTCACATATTCATTGTACTATAATTCTTAGATTAAACAGTATTTTATCGTTCAAATATTAGTTCTTTACTAAATAAATATGCATGGTCAATTTATGAAGTGAGACGATGAAGTGTAAGAATGTTTTAGGGAGCTTTAGAATCGAAACTAGAGTTTGTGGGATTGAAAGGAATAGGATGAATATGGACTGCTGAATGTGAATGAATGATTGAATGATAAGTATGGTGTGTTGATCGTTTATTAAGTTAACTGAAGTAAACCTGCAATACGTTGTATGATGAAAGATGATGCGATGCGCAATAAAGTGTTTCTCCCGACCACCGAACACTAGGATGACACTTTTCTCCTAGACAACATTAATATTAAATATTAATTGCTTGTTTGTCCGCAATCATCATTCCTCCTCCTCGCCTATTTAATAACTATTCTCATTATAATTTATTTCCTCTTCTCCCTAGTATTCGCTTAATCATCCTCTGTTCTTGTCCATTTGATTTATTTTTTATCATCCGTACACTAGATGCAACGCCTTACGCCGTGCACGATGTCTTCTCTGTGTCCGAAAAATAACGACTAATATTACATAATTGTACTCAAAACTTTTGCCGCTAATAATATACAAAATTTCCCCCACCATCCATAATTAGAAAAAATATAACTCAGTACTCACTGCAGTGAGTGACAGAGAGCGCATTTTCTCGTCGACGAAAACGTGAAGTCACGGACGGACAGACAGACGGACGGACAGACGGACGGATGAACAGACGGACATGGCGAGCACAATAGTGCATTTTTTCCATAAATGAGAAAATGCACTAAAAAGGCCAAATTCATAATTAAAACGAGTTAGTAACTTCGAAATAGATTTTGGTTTTTCGAGATTGGCTGGCGCTTAAAGAGTTGGTGATTCGCTGCTGTGTCGTAGCTCTATTTGCCAAGCCCGCCTTACGATTGATTGATCTCTCGTTGCAAGACGTCGTGGCAATCACACTGATAACAGCAATCACAATCACTCACTCGCTCAGCTAATCGCATTCAAGTGTTGACTTTGCCGTGCGAGCCTAATTTGCCGGCACTCCGGACAACTTCAACCCTTTCAACACCACTGAAATCATGGCCGAATTATCGGCGGCCATCCAAGGCTATTGATTGGGAGTCAATTCTCCTTAAACCATCAAAAAATCGCGGGGAAATCAAGTGCGCTCGTCAACTGGTAGTAGATTGGCCGCCTGTATTCCGTCCATATCCCGGATCTAAATTATAAAAGGGTTGCCGCTCGAAAAGTTTTCTTTTTGTCCGTTAGAATCGCGTAGTGCGTAATTTGATTCGCAGGTTCGGGAACAGCGACGCTGATTTCAAAATAGGAAATGTAAAGGATTCGTTACGGAATTGTTGAAATTAAATTTGTTTAAACAGAAAATTAGAAAAAATTATTCGTCGCTGAAATTTAATGTTAGAACACACGTCAATTTGGCGTCACATGAATTTCGATTTTTTCATTAAATATAATATAACTTTATGCGTTTAAATGGAAGTAGTGATTCAGTTGTCAATCTTGTATTGAAAATTTGAAAGTAATTGAACAAAACACATTCTCCTTTAATATAAAGCTTAGTTGGAATAAAACTGTAACGGTAAAATTAATAAGAGATACTGCTTCAAATCAGTAGACCTAAAAATGAGTTTCCCACAAAGATAAATGACCTGGAATTGAGATGCTAAACGCTATATTTTATCTCTTGATTGCAGACACCACGGCATGCTCGACGCCAAGACCCTGGGCTCCCCCCACGACAAGAACCTCCTCGACGGTAAAGGAGGTATTTAGTCGCGGGTTGCCTACACTGCCACTAAGGGCAGTCAGGGTTTTAGCTGCGGATTAAATCCACTGCCTCTAAAGGCAATAGGGCTTTTAGCGGCGAGTTGCCTTCACTAGCTTTGAGGTCAATAGGGATTTTGGCGGCGGGTTGCCTCGACTGCCACTGAGGGCATTAGGGCTTTTAGTGGCAGGTTGCCTCTACTGCCTCTGAGGGCATTGGGGCGTTTAGTGGCGTGTTTTCTCCACGGCCTATAAAAGCATTAGGGGTTACAACGGCGGGCTGGGTACATTTACTCTAAGGGCAAAAGGGGTTTCCTCCTAAGCCTCTAAAGTTGATGGCAAGTTGAGTTGATGACTTGTAGGCAAGTAGACTCATTATTTATTGATAAATGAACAACAATAAATGAAGGTGCGCATACCAACCCAATATTTTGCGTACAGAAAAGAAACCTCACATCAAGAAGCCGCTGAACGCCTTCATGCTCTACATGAAGGAGATGCGTGCACAGGTGGTGGCCGAGTGTACGCTCAAGGAGAGCGCCGCGATCAACCAGATACTGGGTCGTAAGGTACGTGGTCTCGGCATGGTCTTTGGTTCTTTTACTCAACTTGAATTATTTTATGGAACTGGAAGAATTATTTTAAACGCATATTTTTCATTCATCGATTTGGATTTTATTTGCAAAAGAACATTCTTTTGAACGCGCATTTGTCATTCTTATTTGTGAATTAATTTTAAATATCTGAAAGAATTCTCTCAAACGAATAACAGTCATTTTACGACTTAGATTCACCCTAAAGAACGATTTTTTGAAGATGCCAGATGAATTGAAATCATTAGTTGGTAAAATTATGAGAATGAATATTACTTTTTGAAAATAATTTCTATTTTGTTTTAACTATGGTATGCGTTTTTAATAATCAGTTCCTTTCAACCTTTGTATGCTCTTTATATGTGTTGTATGTCTTTGCTTATTCTTATAAAAATGTTATTGAAAAACAACTATGGTTGTTAAGGTTGCCCTCAACCTTTCGACTGCTCGCATTCAGTTAGCAAGCGATGCAAAATCTTCAAGTTTTTCGCTTAAACTGGATATGAAAATTTGGAAACATTGAAATCAAATAACATGAGTGAGGCCAACTTACTTTGATGGAAGTTTTTTGTCAAAAATTTTGGAAAAAAAAATTTTTTTGTCCAAAATTTTGGAAGTTTTTTGTCCAAAATAAAAAAAAAATATATCTACACTAATGAATCAATCCCATTACGTGAATCAGGACCATCTACTTGTAAATAATTTGTATTTGCAGATCAACTGACTTGATAGAATTATTCAAATAACATAGCTATTCACGTGTGCAGAGAGCCTGATTCTAAAATTGTCCCGAAAATTTGTAATTAAATTCAAAATAATTTGTTCAGATTTTTGGTTCAAATGAACACTAAATGTTTAATGCTACTGACGCATCTTTCATACGAGATTATAAATTAATTATTAAACCGGTGTTATCACTATTTACTGAGAACATCTGTTCTATCTAGTGAAATTACGTAAAATAGGTGCACTGAATGACGACCAACAAAAATAGATTCGTTGGTCATAAAATGCAAGTATTTATTTTGAGCCAATAATTCATGTCATGTGCATCAAAGATCCTTCACTCAGTTAAAAATGAATAAGTTTGAGGCCGCACATGGACGATGCTTGCCTATTGTTCGGGGCCACATATGAATTTATTGTTTCCAAAAGGCCAAGTCCAACCGACGTTGGTCCCCAATAAATTTTTTTTTTTAATGCTTTGAAATCCTGAAAGGATCTGCAGAGATTTTTCCTCAAAATCAAAGCTGAAAGAAAACATTTTCCTAACGTACAGCTAAAAAAGGGAAAGGATTATTAATTCGTCTGTTCTTCCATAAGTGAAGCATTGCTGTAAATGCATTAACTGCCTTCTTTAAATCTTTTATCTCGTCGTTGATAAAACACATTTCTGCTAATCCACAACCGGACAAGAAGAAGAATTATATTTTTCATTGATGGAACTGTTCGAGGTTCGAATTTCACTTCAATATTCAAATATTCAATTTTATTTAGAATTTCGGGTTGCGCGAGCTGGTATTTCGAATTAATAGCACAAACTTACCAATGCAACGTAGTTAAATGTAGTCAATTATGAACTTGTTTTCACATTTTTCACGCCCCAGTGGCACGCCTTAAGCAAAGAGGAGCAAGCCAAATATTACGACATGGCCAGACGAGAGCGACAAATACACATGCAAATGTACCCGGGATGGAACGCCAGGGATAACTACGGAATGATGAAGAAGAAGAAAAGAAAGAAAGAGAAATCTGTAGACGGAGGTACCAGTCGAGAGTATTTTCGATGTATGTTGATTGTTGATTGACTTTCAAGCTAATTTTCTTTGTGCACAGAATCGACTTTTTGTTTAGTACGTTCCTTGTTTTTTAATTTGGTACATTTTGGTACAAGTTCTTATATTACAATTTGGTACAAGTTCTTATATTATTTCTGATGATTTAATACAAAAAGTCGAATGACTGGACGAAGAAAGTTATCTTGAGCGATGCCTTGCTTGCACTGAAACAAATACGTGTGTCACATGACGCGGTCTCTCGCTTGACTCAGCGCTTGCCTCAAGCGAGTTCAGGCGGAGACTCAAGTGAATAGCATAAATGATATCCATTTAATGGGTAGGTCAAACTGCCACTAAGTTCAATATACCTACTATAGAATTTACTGAGTAACAAGCTTTAAACCTTGAATAAATCGACATTTTGAAGCAATTTACACCACAAGTTTCACTAGATCGCTGTGAATACACTTTTGTTTCTGTCTAAAGGCTGTTATGGCGCCAGGGTTTTTGCTAGTATTGCTCAGTTCTAAAAAATTAATTTTTTATTTAACTTTCGTTCCTAACTTGAATTCATTAGCCGATTGTAAATCAGCTTTGAGTGACCATTGATTAATTCCAATCTGTGAATTTTAATAAAGACTCAATGTCTATAAGAAAATGCAAAAATATTCAATTTATAAGCAACGAAAGTGATGTGTAAATTGATGAAAGTTATGTGCAAAGAGATAGTTCCATTACAACGTTTTTAATCAAAACAAGGAAATTCTGTGGCGTGTTTCTCTCTAAATTCGTATATACTTTGCGTTCATAAACATCCAAATGATTTTTATATTTGACCGTACTTGTCGTTTCGCAAGAACTTAAAAGCATTCAAAATACAAATACTTCATTAAAAAAATTCAATTCAACTTATGGCAGATTTTTGCCAAAAATTGAAACGTACATGAAGCCATAATTAAATTTAACTTCAATCCCCGCAAACCCATTAAAATTGTAAATTTTATCAATTCTCACGCGTGGCTCAGGCAATAATTATCCACATCTTTGTAATTCCTGGCCTTGCTTTATACTGTACTGAGAAACAATGTAATGTACCGATCCTTTAATTTGTATTTCGGCCTGTTGATCAATGGTCCCTCAAGGGCAGTAAGCATTCTTCAAATTTCGCCTATGACTTCGAATCAAGAACAGAATTTATTTAGTCAGAATTTGTTCATAATTAATAAATTAAAAGTTCGCGCCCCAATAAACAAGTAAACCAAAATTACAAATCTTAAAGAATGACGAACTGGCTCGCAATAACCTGGTGCCCTAGCGTGTTCTCTGATAAGCGTGGGCAGTTTATCTTGATTGGTGATGTGAACGATGATTAATTTTGCCAATGGTAACTTTCCCCCTCAGTGGCATGCTTTAACTCGAGAGGAACAAGCCAAATATTATGAGATGTCAAGGAAAGAGCGACAGCTGCACATGCAGATGTATCCGGGCTGGTCTTCAAGGCAGAACTATTCCCAAGGCAAAAAGAAGAAGCGTAACCGAGACAAAAGCACTGATGGAGGTAGCTACTCCTCCAATTTTTGTATAGCACTCATGGTCTCTGTCGAAGCCCTTTCCATTTATTGCACTTATCACTTCCTCTTGGCGGGTTGCTTTATATACCTTTCTGTTTCTTCTCTCTTTCTGTTCTTTCTATTTCGGTGCATTCCCTTTCTGACCTTTATCCTTTTTTCTTTCCATATTCCATTCCTTCTCTATTCTTTGCAATGCTTTTGCTAGTCTTCACTGTCCCTCCTACTAACATCTTCGTTACAATTCTAAACTTTTCTGCTCATACTTTGCCCATTACTCTGTACTTTTAAAATAATTTTATTTTCATTTTCAATCTCTTTTATTTCTCCTCATCTTTTTTCTATCACTTGGTTTCTCTTGTCTGCTATATTCCATCCATTCAATTTTTTATTTTTCAATTATCCTGCTTCTCCGTCCAATTCTCTCCGCTACGTCAGCCTTCTTGTCCCTTTCATTTCCCCTTTTTTCTTACTATTTTCAACATAAGTATTGCGTTCAAAAAAAATTTAACAACTCAAATGTCGCTAGACCGAATCCTTTGAACAGCAGATGTTCAAATTTAACCCATCCTCTCCGTTCAAATTTATCAAAATTTTTTATTCAAATTTTTGGTGTTTATATCTTTGTCTGCTTAACATTTTTGCTGCTTGCTGCATCATCTATTTCGTATTTTGTCTATTTTCTTAACAAAATAGGTCTTCATAAAATAATCTCGATATTTAAAGCATCATCGTCTTTGATATGCAAATGAGATCTTTGTCTTGGAATTATAAGTGGTATATCTGCATTAAAAACATATAGTTTGGTTGCAATTATACTTCTCTCCTCGTCATTACCTACTGTGGTTATTGTCTTTTTCTATCTCTTTTTCTCTCCTTTTCTATTGAATAACTGGTCGTTTATATACATGCGCATTTAGCTTCTTATTTACTAACTGCCTCACCTGCCTCATTCCTGCCCGCCTCGCAATCTCCATTGTTATTTTCAAGAGCATCTTAACGCCTCAGTATCAAATTTACTATGAAAAACAAACGGAAATAAATCTTTCGTACGCACGACGTGCGCAAGGAATAAATAGAGAAGATTGATCGAGTCCAAATGCTACTGCGGGGGAAGGTTAAAATTGTTTTTCTGTTGTTTTAACCCTTAAACTTAATACTTGAAATCCCACATTACTTGTATGCTGGATTTAAGATGATTCGAAAATAACATTGCAGATCTAACTTCGTCCCTAGCTTATGTATATTTCCAAGGGTTTCCATATGTTTTAATTATCGCTTGCACTTTATTAGCGACTCGCAGCAGTTATAAGGCCTATTATTTTTAACGGAACCCAATTGGATGCCAAACTATTTGAATTATTAAAAAAAATTCATAAGGAATCATGATATTTTACATGTCCCTCAGTTTGTATTTTGCTGCCGTATTTCATTAGTTGATTTTTACGGGTTGTGAACTGGCGATATATCCAGAAATTCCAGTTTTCAATTAGTCAATTTTTAAAGTTCAATAATTATGAATTTTCTCTAATTTTCGTTATGTACATTTTTGTCCACTGTTGAATTTCACCTGCCGTTAATTTCATTTGCGATCAATTTTCAGTAAATGTCAATTCAATTTTAAATCGGTGTTAAATTTAACTGCTGCGACACGCATGCATGACACGCACGGCTGCATGCTGTGCTCATGCACTGCTTGCTGTGAATTCGTAAGCTTTTACGAATTCGTTTTGGGGATTCAAGAAAAGAAATTTTATTTAAACGATCGGCAACGTGAACTTATCAAGACTTGAACGAAATTTGAATGGATTGAAGCTTTTAAAAGTAAATTTCTATATGAAATCAAATAATATTAAAATATAGTTGAAAATTCAATATATTTAATTTTTAAAAAATAAATTGAGAAGTGGAATTACGTTTTGCGAGTTTCTGCTTTAAAATTATTTACTGAGAAAAGATACTAGTATCTATTCATCTTTAAATTCATTCACTTCTTGGCTTAATCTTGCCAAATTCTTCATTTTAATTCAAACATTTTTTATGTTGTTTGAAATTTGAATGGAAATTTTGAATGAACGTCTTAATTTGCCCAATGTTGCCTTTATAGAATGTATCAGTTGCACATGAAACAGAATAAAAAAAAATTCATAATAATCTATGCTCAACGTAGTCAGAGTTTTGTAGATAGTTGAAATGCAATCTCACCGAATGAAACTAACATTAAAAATTGTTTGCATGAGAATTTTTTTCACGGTCTTTTACTAATGAAACGCAACTTCTACCATTAAGTTCTTACTGGTAACCCTTGCTCTCCCTGCATGGTAGTAAAAACCCTCAATTTAGGGTATTACTAGTCACTAGGCAGTAGGTGCAGCTAGTGAGCGGTATCGATATTAGTGTTCGTTACAGTGTAAATATTATATAGACTAAATTGCTTCTAAATAGAGTAGTTTTCATAGCCCTTAAAAAGCATTGCTGATCTCCACCTCTCTTGCATGACTGGTTTACCGTTCTGGTAGGAACAGCAGTGAAATTAGTTTAATATTTTGCATAAATGTGTGTTTGGATTGAATATGAATAACAATATTTATTTAATAAGTATTGAGTTGGCCACATCATTCTTTTCAAATGTTTATAATAGTGATGCAATATCCCAGTGGCTAAGCCACATGTTATTCAGATCACTAAAATATAATTTGATCAACTATGCATTGTAAATAAACTGTTGATTTTCACAGCCAATATGAAGAAGTGCAGAGCGAGATACGGCCTGGACCAGCAGAACCAGTGGTGCAAACCGTGCAGGTGAGACGCTGCGGAGGCCTACTAGCTATAGGCCTCTCTCTATCACTCAGAGAAATAAGCAAGACTTTGTCCAAATAGCGATGCACCTATTGGTCACGCTGACTCAGTTTAGCATAGCACAAGGGCGCATCAGTGCTACGTGCAAAGAGTGCGCCACTATTCGGACAATTTCCAACCTCTATTTTCCTGAGTATGACAGGTGTTGGAATGTAAGGACCATATGCAAATATTGCAGTCACGGTGCTAAGATGGTTCTTATATACTCACTCGTCTATTGCAGTGTGGTTCTTGAGAACTTTGCAGTATGGTAGTTTGGAAACATTAACTGGGGGTACTTATGGAATATTAATTGTAGTACTTGGAAACTATTGTACGTTACTCGTTAAATTCAATGTGGTCCTTTACATCTTCGGTCTAGCAATCGAAATTTCACTCCTACTGATCGAAAGCTTGGAAATCATTATAACAGCCCTTTGCAGTCTTTTGGTATAATGTCTTATTCCATAATGATTGTTTGAAAATTAGTGCTCACGTTAGTTTAGAATTAAGTGCAGCAACTTTGTTAAGAACAATTGGGTGATCTTCATGAGAGGCCGTGGTGATTTTATTGTAAGATCTTCTAAAGTTGAGAGTAGCATTCATTATCTTATTTGTGAGTTTTACGAGAATGTTTATCAAATTTTACATTCAAAAGACAGAGTAAGTTTCATTATGAACTCAAGCTTTGGTAAATATTTCATGCGAAGTTTCGAAGTATCGAAACCATTGAATGATATATTATGCAATTCATCATTTGCATCTCAATGCATCGATAGAATATTAATTATAAAAATTATAAAATGATTTAGTTTTAGCTACATCTTCAGCTTGCTGGAACAGGATTAAGTCATCAATTCCTAGAAGAGGGGGTAACTTGACAAGACTTGCAGGTATTGAACTGATTCGGTTGTTCCACAGGAATGAAAATTTTAGGCAGATTATCGATGGCCGATCAATGGCGACCGTGCAGATCACCTCCTTATTACTAATCCATGTCTCTAATCTTAACAATATATAAAAGCCGGCGTATAACCTTGATATTTACTTGCAGTGTAAAGACATCTACTAACTCTCCTACTAACCGTGCGTGTCACCTATTACACTACTGAGTACTGTTCACAGGTGCTCAGTACGTTCTACTGTGTACCTGCATACTCCACTGAGTACCTGTGCACAATACAGAGTACCAGTACACTGAACTGAGTGCTTGTACACTACACTGAGTGCCTGTACTCTCAACCGAGTGCGTCTATACTGAGTACGTGTACATCTTACTGAGTACGTGTACATTTTACTGAGTACGTGTACATCTTACTGAGTACTTGTATACACTACTGAGTGCATGTACACTCTACTGAGTAGGTGCGCACTCTTCTGAGTAGGTGTACACTTTTCTGAGTAGGTGTACTCTTTACTGTGTAGGTGTACTCTCTACTGAGTACCTGTACACTCTACTGAGTACCTGCCACAACAGCACTCGAGACACGCGAGGCCGGGCAAAAGGTCTCACTATCTGCAGTCTCGTGAGGTTACATAATAGAAGCGATCAATTCAGATCAATCGATCAATTCAGACCAATGGATCAATTCAGACCAATCGATCAATTCAGACGAGGATGCCGCCGGAAAATGTGTCAATGATCGTTTTAATTTTCTATTTTATATCATTGAAGTTCACATCACATTCCATTCAAGTTATTGAACACAATTTCAGGAATTCGAAACTGGCAAAATTGACGCGGTAACTGAATTCTTTGGTTGTACAGTTTTTAATTTTGTTAATTTCAAAAATGCGGTGAGAACTTTTGAGCCGAAGCCCGAATGATCAAAATCAGAGTGCAGGACATGACTCTGCTTCTTAGTTTTCGATTTTGACACTAATTCTTTTCTGAGTGCACACCCAGCATGAGAAGTTTTTGTGCCGTTTTCAGCGGGTTTATCTCGAGCATGGCTAACATTCCTGGAGATGGTCAGAGCGACAAATAAAAATGGGGTAAATTGGGGAACTTTGCGCGAGAATGGCAGACTGACACATTTTCTGGAACGCCTTATCCCCAAAACTGAGAGATTTTCTGCATTTGGTTTTGTCTGCTACCGGGTGAATTGCTACCCTAGCTTGTACGAAGTTATGAGTGAATGAATTAAATTGTTTGCGATAAGAAAGATCTGATTCTTCTTCTTTTAAAAATTCATTGCAATTTATTATAAAATAAATTAACTTCAGCTTCCCGCTTCTGAATTTCTGCTAGTTTTGCGGTAAAATGAAATGCGTTATTCTTTTTTCAATGAAAAGAATATTTCGATGAAAAAAATATCCAAGCAAATGACGAAAGGAATAATCAACATTCTGGGCAAAGTCGTCAAGAATTCTGAGCTTTCAAATGAATCTCGGGAAGAATATTGTATCGAGCGACCGGATTTTTTTCCTTGGAATCTTATCCGGGAGCGACCAACCACACGAGACTGCAGAGACGCGGGAACTGATGCCGAGCCATCGACGCCATCTTGGTGATGATGTAACAAGGCTCCATGCTTCGTCCTGATGATCAAATTTCTTCCTATACCTACAATAAACTTGACAAGTCAATGTCATCAAAAGAAATATGTACGATCACCGTGATACTGTTGAGAACGCAGCCCTTATCTGCGACAGCCCTGCCACTGTGGCGTCGTTAGTGGCGTCGGCGACTCCAGGAGGTGGCAGCAACGCGTTGCTGAGCGGCGTGGCGGCCGCCGCGGCAGCTGCCGCCGCCGTAGCGACGTCCGCCGGCGCCAGCGCGGCGCTGGTGACGCTAAACTCCGGCGCTTCCGTCACGAGTCTGTCCCCCTTGGTGTCCCCAGGGGCGTCTTTACCCACCTCCCACCACCCCTACAGTCCCCTGGCTCCCCCCATACAACATTCTATCGTTAATTTGAGCTGCAGCAGCAATAACAGCCACAGCAGCAGCAGCAGCAGTACGAATAGCACCTCGACAAATAGCAGCAGCAGCAGCAGCTGCAGCAACATCGGCAGCGGGGGCAGCTGCGTGGCGAGTCCGGCAGAACCGACTTATGTTAATCTTTAGGCAGTGAGTCTTGCTTGCCTTTGCCTCCTTAGCGGCAGGTTCATTTATTGCGGTCAGTTTCAGTTGCGGGCATCATTGTTGACCTTGATATTTAATATCTTTTGATATTTGCCTCGCTACATTCCGAGATATCGTCTTATCTCTTCTGATATTAGTTTCAACTCTTGTTTGATTTCTAAAGTAATAATTTTTCACGCATTAATGCAACGAACATTGGTCGTGGTCAGTGCCCGAATATGAGTATATTCTACCTCCAAAAACCACCAAAAAACCTGCCGTTAAAGAGTGCAATTCTTCAATGTTTACCGCGACCCACCGCACGTTCCTGTGACGTTCTCACCGGTTTCGTTTTATATCCACCAAATAATTTCTAATTTCTTTTCAGTGTTTCTAGAGATTTTGGATTAACCATTACTGTTTTGTTCATTTTTCTCCATTTTTTGTCGTGCATGGTGTTTTTAAAAGTTTTATTTTCTTTCAGGTTGTGAGCGTTGTAGCTGCATGACGATTTTTTTTACCGTAGTCGTTTTCAGGAAATTTATTTTTTGTATATTCACCCATCGGAGGGTGAGCATGCGTTGTGAATAAATGCTTTTGTACTACTAATTTATTCAACGGAAATTACACAGCTTCTCTTTAGACAATAAGCTTAGAATTAGACATTCAGTAGCGCATTATACTTTCTGACTGTAGTTTAATTTTACAGACGTAAAAAGAAGTGTATCCGGTACATGGAAGGGGAGGAAGGGGAAGAAGGAGGATCCAGTGGGAGTATCGAGGCTCAAGAATCTGATGAATCCGATGATGAGATTCAGGACGACAACATCCACGATGTCATCTCCGATGTGAACATGGCTTCCCCATCCAATAATTTCCAGATGTTGCTTTCCCCATCCACGTCCTTGGCGTCCCCGTCGGGACCTCCATCTTTAATGCCTTCCCCAGCCTCGCTGGCTTCTCCAACAACCCCAGGGGATTTAAAGGAAGTTTTCGCCCCCATTCCCCCGCAACAGTTGGTACCCCGCATCCCGGTGGGAACAAACCCCCGTGACCTAAACAATCCTTTAAGTGTTAATCAGCTCACCGGCCAATGCATTACTGCTTCTGATAATCAAAATCAGGAACACCCAGCGATGGTCAGCGTAACATGACCACAACACATATCGTAGGATCAACCCTCTTGAATTTGATGCTACGTTCTTGGCAGGTTGCCTGCCGTGTCTATCAGTTAAAACATCACATTAAGACCTGGAATATTTAATCACGTCTAATAAGAAATGCATGTTTTATGAATTGTGAACTTTAATATAATCCAATCACATTTCATTTATGGTTGTGAAGCGGGTTCTCTTATGTTATTTATTTCCGGAATCTGTACTACAATCGAGGTTCGAATATACAAATCGAATTATCCATGAAAGCAAAAATGTCTTATTGTTACATATGTAAGAAATTTTCTGCGACTATTCGCAGTATAAAACATTTAATGAAATTTTAAATTCACGAGGAAACAGAACAAACATTATCCGTTGAGCTATTGTTCATATTCAGGGGGTTACATGCAAGACAACTATATTCGTCAGACGACAATATTCATGAGACAATAATATCATCAATGTGACAATATGCATTATGCAACAATATTTGTGAAGCGACAATTTTATAGGCATGACGAACGACATTAGCGCGATGACGATCGATATTCGTGAGACTGTGGTTGATATTCGTGAGACCTCGATTAGTGAGACGGTAACTGATATTCGTGAGGTTGATAATTGTTATTAGTGGTACGACGATTAACTTCCGTGATTCGACAAGTTTTACGCATAATAAGTGTGAAATATGAGTACAGTTGGTGCGCGTGTGCGTGTACAATAGGCACAATTTGCAGGGTATAGGCAGTTATTGTACGTCGTTCTTGATGCCGTGTATATATTGAGGCGTACCAAGTGATTGTAGACTTTAGTGTTCTATTTGTATATGTTATTGTGGAAGATCCTTTTTATTATCTATTGCTTAAAGTAACATCAGTGTCTAGAGGCTTCGATAAGGACAAGGTGGTGGACGTAATGCATTTCGTTCATGCATTTTTATTGAGGATTCCGCAGGGTAAATACATATTGTTCTTCGCTCGCGATATTTGCTTTTTGAAAGCAATGCTAAGTGCTGAACTTGTAAGCGGGGCGAAGGTAAATGCGTGTTCTAATGATGTGCAATTTGATGAAGAAGTTAAATCCTTTGCACGACAGGATACGTTTTCCTATATCTCATGAATTTATAAGTAACTTTGAAGAAAGTACAGCTAATAACTATCATACCAATTTAATAACATAATTGTCCGAAATTTAATAGTAGCAGTTGCGCATGATGGCAAAAAATGTTTATTTTCATTTGACACGTCTGGAACTGGAATTTTTATATCAAACTGTTTTCGTACTAGGAATTATTTAAGTAATTTTTTATTGTAAATTAATCCGATGTTGACGATTTAGAAGCAATATTTCCCTATAAAATTTCATTCGTTCTCTAAAGATATTCGAAAATGCTGAGATTTCTTTTCTTTCTGAGATTTTCATTTTTTCTACAATAGTTTTTATGCATTTCTAATTCATTTATATACGTTTCTAGCGCTCAAAACTTGTTCGTCTGCATTATTATGGTTCTTTAATTCTCAGAAAAATGTCATTGTTATGTAAACAAACATTCAAGTAAAAACAACTCCTAGATTCCACTGGTAATAGTTGATATAAAATACAAAATTTGAATTGATTGCACTTCATATAATTTGTATAGAGATTGTGAGTTTAGATATGCAACAGATGCGGGTCTTTTGTTATTGCCATTTAGTCTTACGTTGCCACGTCATGCGTCTGACTTAGTCGTTTGTTTCACGTCGCTTTTTCGTTCATGAAAAAGACGTTTTATTTGCTTATCAGTTGTTGATATCATAAGGACTATATCGTTGATCGTTTTGTACATATTTCAACCATCTATATTTGCATTGATTAGCTATAGTTTCTGCCTTTTACCGTTGGCATGATTTAATGCAATAGTTGACTACGTACTTGACTTGAGTATTTACTGTTATTGTGTTTAATTTATTTAACACTCGTTCATGTTGAACACGTTCGCAAGTTTGTCCTGAAATGCGGATGTTGAGTCCGTCATGGTAGTTGTCTCAATCAAAACATTGCTGGAACCAGGCCAGGTCCGGAATGAATTGGGTCACATATGCATATTAATTCTTGTGGGATATTGTAAAGGTTTATGATTTAATTATTATGTTCAGATCAACAATGAAATCGTTGAAATTCTTCATTAGCACGCATTTTATTGTGATTGTTAAGAAGTCTGCGTAACTCGTGAATATTTTTTAGCACATAGATATTATTTTCAATGTGAGGTGTTTGAAATATTAATATAAAATATATTAATCCCTTGCCGGTAAAGCAACTGGAAGCTCAGACGCACCTTCCTATTTTCTTTACGATGTCTGAGATTTGAAGAAGTGTAGAATTCGAGAAAATGTAAGCTAAATTTATTGTATTTTCTACGTACAAAACATTCCATTAATTTTAGATTTTTTAGTTGTGTACAATTTCGATGTATTTGTTACGTGCTTTTCCAGTAATTGCAGAATGTATACGCTGAGTACACCGCAGGTGTATATGTTACACGAAATATTAAAAGTTAATTTCAACGCACATTTCATCGCCCAAAGTCGGTGATGGAAACGTCGATTCAATTGCAAGACAATCAATGTTTTTTGTTTTAGCAGAGAGTGTCGTCACTAGACATTCTCTAGACACCTCATCCCTCTAACCATAACCTCGATAGCGGATCATTATTGTTCTCCTATTATATTAGTACTAAATATGTGACCGAACACTACATCTTAACATCATGATCTTCCAGGTAATCAAAATACCTACCTATCCTATCAGAGCTGCTAATTATGGGACATCGCGATGTTAATTATTAATCAAAATATTCACTTATCCTATCAGAGCTGGCAAAATATCGGACATCGCGATGGTAATTATTAATCAAAATATGCACTCGTCCTATCAGAGCGGATAATTATCGATCATCGCTATATTAATTACCAATCAAAAATTTCCTATATTAATTACCAATCAAAAATTTCCATGATGATCCCAAGTGTGAACTCGGAAAGTTGAGCAGAGATTATCAACAAAAATGTTAAAACTTTGGGAAATGGGGAGACTTTGTCCTTACGACGATGAACTTGGCGCGTGCGTGGGCCATCCAGTTAGGCCCGACCAAAAGTAGGCCATCCAGTTAGGCCCGACCAAAAGGCCAGTCACTGCCACCCGCAGAACGTGTCACCATTTGGACAATTTGATCCATTGATTTACCTGAATATATGCCGACGTCGAGTGAAGGCTTGACCTCTGTGATGCAGCTTTCTAATTGAAATACTGGTTGCGAACACCTTTTATTAATTCCCCAATTGTTTTTCAAAATTTAATACTGTACTTAACGCTTTGCGAGTATCTCTTTCACAGTTGGAGTTCTTGACCATATCCCTTGCTAATAAGACATTGTTTACCATTTTACCTAGTAGAGTTCAATGGTCATTGAAAATGTTCTATTATTAGTAATGCACTGATGTCATGGGTATTTATGATCATCATTACAAAATTCATCAATTTCATCGTCATCGTTCCCAGTGTTGAGTTTTTGGCACGACTCGCAAGAAATGTTTTTCGTCGAGCGAGTTGACCGTAAGACTTCGCACCACAAAATCAAAAGTACTCAGGGCCAGGAGTTATTTAGTTGACTCAAATATTGTGAGGTCATCTCATACTAGTTAATCGAGTAAATTACAATTAAAAAATAACATGTAATATATAAAAAAGAATATCCAGCACCTGATATTTACTATGCATTTTCAATATTCATGAATACCTGAAGATATTCTATATTTTATCTGTATTTTACAGTGTTGTGTTGCCTGCTGATTTCTTATTGAAGGTGCTTCGAAGAATTGAATAAAAGTTCAGCACGCACATAAAGTCAAAACCGGCCTCGTGGAAATATTAGGCACGATAATGAGTTAGTTTCAATTAAATTTGTCTCATTTATTTACAACAAATCCACGAAAATTAATCCATTAACTTCGTTCTGTCAGTCGTTTGAAATTCTTTAGCCTATGTCTAGAGAACGAGCAATCCTTTAAGTTTTCTTATAATTCCACCTCAATTCCAGCATCAAGAAATCAATTTTAATGTTTAATGATCATAAGTTGATGAGTTGATTCAAGAACATCGTTGAGCTTTACATTCATTAACAGAGCATAACTTTACGAATGCGTCTTACGCAATAACTTTGCATAATTTTTGTCCGTATACATATTTATACATATGGTGTGTGCGACGTGTACAGTTAACGAGTATATGGAGTAACTATATTTCATGTATATAGGATGAAAGTGGCGCATAAATACATCTTTTCCATACTAAACTCTTTCAATGTCCTTCAACTGCACCTCCAACACTCGTACAGCCACTAACTTGTTGACGAGGAGAGCGAACTTAACGTAACTTTAATGCCGGCTCAAAATACCGGTTCTTGAGTGGTTAATATACAATAATATGTTCTAATATAGATAATATGTAACTGTATGTGGCAGCAAAAGTTCAATACGCGTTTAAAATTTTGAAAGGCAGCAAACACCAAGACCATGGTGGGCCTATTTCTCCTATTCTATTCTATTAAGTTCAAGAATGCGTCGGAACGGCAAGAGAAAATTCCGTTATGTTAGAGCTGACAAAAGGTTAACGAAGCACATGGTAATAAATTAATCCTTTATTCAGATCTAATCGTAAAAATGACCCAGATCAAGTAGTTACATCGAGCAAGATCTGGCAACATGATGAGCAAACAGCACCGCTGGAGAAACAGTTAATTACCTTCTAATTACGTCCATCACCTTAATGATGGGCATCATGATATATGGTTTGACGACCAACATGAATTAGGTGATCATCTTTATTATTATTGCTAGTTTGTATGCCGGGTTATTGATGTGTTAACAAAGCACAGTTATCATCATCCCTCGCAACATGTTCATCCTAAAAAACATATTTGAGTGGCTTGAAGTGAAAGGAAATTTACGCTCTTGATCTTCTTCAGACATTCATTAAGTACTAATTAACCAAACAAAATAGCGTTTATTGACGAATAATTTTCACAAGTGACCAATTTTGTTCTAATTTAATGAGAACATAACGGAAGCTCACAAAAAGAATGAATTAGGAACTTCAGCGATGCTCTTATGGAATATCCCAGAATTTAAATAGTCCATAAATGAGGGTACTTTAAAATTCATCAAATCTCTAAAAAATTTATCTTCGAAAAGTATTCATAAACAAATAGTTCTTAAAAATATCACATCCAAGATAAGAAATGTTCAGCTAACTCATTCAACTGAATGAAAACACATACAAGTAAACACCATAAAAATAAAAAGTGTGGAGACATCACTACTTTATGCGACATGTTGGCGCAACTGCTCAACAAACTTCAAGCTGCAAAAGAAATAATCAAAATTCAAATAAGTTCAAAGTTCTAACCATTGACTGATCAAGCTTCGCCATCAACAGCTCAAGGTTTTTCCACCAGCAGATCAATATTTGAATATTTGACCATTAACAGATCAAGATTTCCCCATTAATAGCTCATGGTTTCTCTATCCACTTCTTTATTCGTTATCAGAGCGGACATTTCGATCTTCACTCCTCCCTCATGTGAGCGCTTCAGGTAGAAATAGACAACAGGTAAAGTTGACAACAAGTAAAGTTTACAGCTATTAAAGTAGACAACTAGTAAAATAGTCATAATCATACCAATATCAACTAATGACTATAAGCATACAATCCTACTCCTCCAGAACGTTCAGTAAAAGAAAGTGCACTCACTAGAACAGTCTTCGTGTTTTAGGAATTTCACGCACCGGGCCTCGTGGGTGACATGACGAACAGGACCTATACTTTCAAAAAAAAGTTAAGAGATCGTAAGTTCATCAGCCAATCGTTGACGGCCTTTCAAGCAAAATCCAACAATCATAGAAAAGAAAATAGAGCATAAGTACTTACGTTCACTTAGCGAGTTTCGTAAGTATAGGCCCTGGACTGCCAGTTCTAGCAATGCGTTTAATGCGCGGGTGAGAATACTAACCCAATATGATCACGACTAGCGACATCTATATTATTTGGCCACATATTCTATACCATTCGCTCTTCTTGGAGCTTTGACAGGTAAATTGTACTGTTTGATGTCGATGAAGTTTGAATAGCAATGCGGCAGTTTAGTTAGGAGCTTTCTGCGCTGTACACTTTCTGGATGATCGAGCTGGCGCTAATGTGGTTTAAAACAACGCTAAAATACTATACAACGACTTAAATAAGTTAAAGGGAATCAACAAATTAGAGACTGCAGAGCAGTGCAACGTATGTACATTGCGAGAGAAACAATAAACGTGTACACCATCGCACATGCCCGACTAGCCGCACAAATAACATCTTAACATTTCTTAAATGGTACAAGGATAAAAAATGATAGTAAATACAAACGTTGACGAATTAACGAACATCCTGTGGAGCAAAATTAAGATAATGAACGAGGCTTCTCGAATATTATTTGTAGAGCATTTCAGGAACAGCAAAGACAACTGATCAAGTGGCAATTTCGTGGACATAGACTATCAATATCATGTGAGAATTATACCATCTGTGAGTATGATGACAGCTTTGAATATTTAATTCGTTCCAAGCTATAAGTTCATCAAGTGGGCATGAGAATGTTGTTATAGCATATTTATACACCTAATTCATGCTAAGCAGTGGATATGTCAAGTACAATAAAACGATGTATATGCAGCAACTGACAGGAGCCATGGCATGTGTTCATGTCGAGTCCCATGGATGTTCATAGAGCACGTCAATGTTCGTAATGTTCATGATGGATAGGCATTGTCCAATTGTTGTTGCCAATGTTCATGATGTTCGTTGATGTTCATGATGCCACCAGTGTTCATGCAGGAGTTGGCCAATGTTCACTATGGGGAGTAGTGTTATTCATGTGGAGGCTCTTGCTTGCATCTGTAGGAATAGGAACAATGTAATGTTGGTGTTAAGGTTGCAATGTTAGTGGGTAGATATGGCATTAAGATAGCTAGTATATTCAATGTGCGTATATTAATTGCGTTAAATGTGGTATCGACCAGTAAAAGTTCGACACAATAATGAACCTGCATGCAATTTGGTCTTGCGAGATGGAATTCATTCTAATGATATTCTTCCCAGAGTTAATAATCAATTGAGCAACAAAAGGGGTTAATCGTGTCTTTATTTTTATTAAATGTTTATATAATTTTTCAGTATTTCCCATTAATTAGGACCAAATGCTTTACTAATTGCATTGATGATACAAATAATTTCACTGTGAAAAGTTCATTCATTCATATCAAGTTCTGTTTGACATCAACAAATTTTTAACAAAGTCATTAAAGTAAATTGCTTCAATTAAGATTCATTTAATGAAACTACACGTGAGAACCTATAAACATGGTATGGAGTCACGACAGCTAATGAGTGTCACATACGTGCAAGGCAAAGCAAGCAATCACGTACCTTCGTCTGGTGTTTGCGTAGAGCGCGGCTCGCGTGTCTGCTCTGCACTCGTCAATAAGTGTATGAAGTGTCGCTAATTATTATTATTTATCCTAATACTAAAATGTTTCTGCTCCCCATGAGTTAATTGGTGTATGAAGTGCGGCTAATTATCATCATTATAAGTTACCCCAAGTCCCGGATCCACATGTCAATACGTGCACAAAGTGCGACATCGGGCGTGCTTGTGATGGCCTATTAATGATATTCACTGGAAACTGCATATTAGCTAGTAATATTGATCATATCGTATTTAGGGATCACTTCACCCAAAATGAATTGATGTTTTATATTTCACAGTAAGATTCGAATGCATTGAATGGCGATGAATGTTCTTAGTGAATTTCCATTTCGAACACTGAAATTTTTACGCAATTTCATTCAACAAGTTCTAAAAGGTTTCAAAGTTACACCGATTGCGGAACAAAATAAATATTTTGTTGGTAGTTAAGGCAAACTTAATTTCCTAGTCAGTAACTTTCACTTGGTGCTAACGTGTGAAGTTTGTTTCAGTAAATGAGGTTTTAAAGTTAGAGAGGTGTAATAATGACGATGTTGATTTGAAGCTCAAGTAAAGCGATGGGAGTGTTGTCTGTATCCTTTATTACTTGAACTTCTCGTCAAGTAAGGAGAGCGGTATTTGAAAGAAAGTTTTATTGTTTTATGTTACGCATATGACAGACAACGCTAGGATGGAGGTGGTGATGGTGGCACTTCAAAACAAAAAATTGGCCCTTTTTGCCTTGAAAGAGAAAATGTCATAATTTTGCGTAGGAGATAACGCTTGCCGAAATGTTGCCAAGAATATGCCACTGAACAATGTTGATTATGGACAGAAGCCTACCTCATTGGTCCGATATCAGTTCACCTATATAATACTGCATCTACTGTTCACCAGCAAAACGAGCTTAATTGACATAGAAATCAAAGACTGGTTTAAAATGAGGGCCTTATACGCTCTTTATTCCGAAGACTTCACTGACATCGCGGCGATGAAAATTTGAATATTTGCAATAGAAGGTTTGGTGGAAACCTCAAGATTTAGCAGCATTTTAACGGCGATTACCAATAAATAGATTGAAGAAACCTTCTACCTTATTAACGAACCTCCTAATTTATTAATGGCTTTTGAAAACGGTGAGAAGTTCAAATGAATATCCTCGACAACCGTAAAAGTTGCCACAAATATACACAAGAGCCCTCCTAGTTGCCTCGAATATACGCGTTAACCTAGTCAACCTAGTCAATATCCGCGTTAACCTAGTCAACAAGAATGCCCCAGAAACCCAACACAAACATCACCGTAAAATAGCACAGGATAAATATGACAACAGACACTGAGAACAATAAGATGATGTACTCGTTATGTGAACATATCCTTGCCTTCTCCACGAAATATTCAAGTCCTTCTATGAAAAAGAAAGAAAAGCAACAGAAGTAACATGCCTCCATATGAAAAAATCGTTATCATGAATACATAAATGAGAAGAGAAATCTGCGTACCTGATACGGGAAAACGACTTTTTCACCGATACATCAAGTTAAAAACGTTACTACACTAGCACGCTAGTGTGAGAAGTGAAATCTTCTTTTTCTAATACGTTAACGTTAAAAGTAACCTTCCTACACAGACACGTAAAACGAAAAAAGAAATCTGCAACTAATACATTAAAGAACAAAAACAAGTTGCCTCAATTACCGGTACATTAAAGAAACTTCTTCAGTGAAAACGTGGAGGAAAAGTTTGCGACACGTGGATATGTGCAGTGCATTTTCCATCTCAGGTACGGAAAAATGTTTNACGTGAAGAAGAAGTTCCTCCAAGACACGTGAAAGAGAAGTTCCTCCAAGACACGTGAAGGAGAAGTTCCTCCAAGACACGTGAAGGAGAAGTTCCTCCAAGATACGTGAAGGAGAAGTTCCTCCAAGACACGTGAAGAAGAAGTTCCTCCAAGACACGTGAAGGAGAAGTTCCTGCAAGACACGTGAAGGAGAAGCTCCTGCAAGACACGTGAAGGAAAAGTTCCTCCAAGACACGTGAATGAGAAGTTTTCCCCCAAGACACGCAAGGGGCAGCAGTGCCAGAGTCGGCCAGAGTCTCCTATAGCGCACATTAAACACCTGGAATCTACAAGTGCCGCAACAAACACAGGCTACTAGCGACTCTGTAATGAATACTTACATCTTAATCTCAACTGCCATCGTGCCACTTACTCAGAAGTACGTAACTCAATGCAATGTACTAGAAACTTCAATCAAACTTTGAACTTATCTTGCAGACGCAGAATCAAAGCTTATGATAGTCTTGAGACCTAAAAGTAAGCGGATTATTAATTATTTTTACACCGGCACCAATTGACAAAAAGTTTGCGTCGTCTTTATATAGCAATCCAGAGCATCGAGTGCACGCGGCGCTCAAATACATGCGTGTCGGGGGCGGCGGTTGGAGCGTGCAGTCAGCGAGCGGAAACTGGTCCTCTAAGTCTCAACAGTTACCCTAATATTAATTATGATAATAAGAACTGATAAGAGGGTCAGCAGTCAGGGGAATATTAAACCGTACGCTTCTTTACCACCAGATTATTAATAACTTTCTTCTTCTCTTTACTTAGCCATGTTTTGTAATACGTATCTCTTCACAGCTCTCTTCTTGCAACCCACAAATCGCTTTCCCTTCGTCCACTTCCCGTTTTCCTAATTTGTATCCCTCTACTCTTGCACTAGCCAACGACTGGCTGCCCTCGTACACGGTTTACGCCTCTAATCAATCCAGTAGACACTCCTTCCTTCTCGTCGCCCTCCCTTCCCTCCCTTTAACCACTCGGGGTTGTCGTGCTTCACTCCATCCACTTGTCCTCCTCATCCTCCTTCTTGTCGCTGCGGTCGGACTTGTACTGCAGGGATCTTGATGAAGAGAAGCACAGTTTCATGATGAAGGGGAAGCGCGTGCCAGCTGCGGGAGACAGGGGCGTTAGAAGCAGTCAGGTAGGAAGTGTTGGTGACTTCAATTGCGTGTTAGGGACGCTATAGTTGGTGTTACAGGCGGTGTTGTATGTTAGGAGGGATGGATGGTGCCGAAACAGGTGTGAGGTATAGAGTGTTATAGTATGGTGGACGTAGGAGTTAATAGATGGTATAGAAGGGTGGTATGGACTGAAGGATATCGGTATACGACATGTATTAAGAAAAGTACAACAGTATATAAACGGGCATCAAGCGTAAGATATAAAAGGAGGTAAAATCGACATCTAAGTTCGTAGATGGCGGAACTTGGAAAGTCATCGTGTAACACAGCTGCTGTTAAATGCAACCTTGGTGTAAAAACATATAGCCTCATTTTACACTTCATGTCAAGAGCCCAAAAACGTGATCAAGTTCGGTGATATTATCTAACAGCGGCATCCGTTATTAGCTGACGAGCGAATCGCCTTACATCTTGAGCAAACAACTGTTTAACGCTCTGATCAAAAAATCACAATGGGCATAAAATCAAAACACAGTTACGAGTTCGTAACTCCGTTAGCCAATAAGAGACGGCTTTTCAAGATAAAGCAATCAATCACCGACGAGAAATATGCCGCTACATGTACTCAAGCAAGTTTTGAAAGTACGGCCGCAGGATTGGGTTTTATTGCAGGATGTAGGACAGGACGGAGGTCGTCCTCGCAGGGAAGGATGCACTCACTTGGGTTGGGGATACCAGCGTGGTTGTACCCACAGGGAAGGTTGCACTCACTTGGGTTGGGGATACCAGCGTGGTTGTACCCACAGGGAAGGTTGCACTCACTTGGGTTGGGGATACGAGCGTGGTTGCAGGACACGAGAGCCTCCAGCGCCTCCTGCAGATCCTCGAACTCTAGCAGCCCACTGGAACTGCGCTCCGCTGTGGGGGCATGTGATAAAAACATCAGACATGAGATTAACTACAACAAATAATCAACATAAGCAAATCATGAAGACAATTATTAATAAGTGGCGAGTAAAGCATCAAGTAAACCGAGTCTCCAGCCGGTCCACATACAATTTCATACATAATTAGTAAAAAGGAGAATAAGAAACAAGGCATCTCTTACTCTGATAACCAAAACTTCCGAATAGAATATAGTGAAAATTTAGAACAACAACAACAAAAATGTCCACAATAACTCGAATGCTGTCAAGGTCACGAAAAATCTAAATGCTGTAAAGCCTTCAAAACTCGAATGACGGAATAATTAGAAAATTATAATGGTTCTAAACAACTATAATAACGTTTCAATCACGAATGAGTTGAGAGTAAGATTAAGGTATAACGACACATATACTAGTCCTAAACAACGCTAATAATGTCTTAGTAACGAATGAGTTGAGAGTAAGATTAAGGTATAACGACACATATACTAGTCCTAAACAACGCTAATAATGTCTTAGTAACGAATGAGTTGAGAGAAGGAATAATAACCCCAGATACTCCCGCCCGTTGCTTACACTCACTCTTCGACTGGAACAGCTTCATGGCCTTGGGGGCGGCGACATCTTCCTCTGTGAACACCTCCTTCATGGCGCTCTCAGTGATGTTCGGGGGCGTGTTGAAGAAGTGCAGGATCTGCCGTCGTTTTATTATCATTATTACTATTATTATTGTTTTATCACTATTTTCGTTACTATTATTAACGTTAATCTGTCAAGAGATTATCGTGACGTCTGGTACAATCAGAATTAGATGGCACGTTACATATTCATTGAACTAAGACAAAGTTCTAAAATTAGCAAAAAAATTGTTGTACTAATCTCAAAAATATCATCTGAGTTTGTTCTGCTTAATAAAAAGGAAATTACAATTGAAGCAGCATAGTAAAGAAGCAAATTTTCATCCATCAGATGATTTATCGGTGAAAATTAATCGCGTTTCAACACTTGGTACCGTGCGTCTAAAATGAAAGCCTAAATTCTGCTCTCAGACTGAGTGATATTGTGTCTTTGATACGGCAACATAACTCCGATAATCGATTCACGTCCCAATAGTTTAAAAAAATATAACTCAGTATTCACTGAAGTGAGTGACAGAGAGCGAATTTTCTCGTCGACGAAAACGTGAAGTCACGGATGGACAGATGGACGGACGGACATGGCGAGCACAATAGTGCATTTTTTCCATAAATGAGAAAATGCGCTAAAAAGAGAATACTGAATATTGCACCCGTTGTGTTCAATGTTAGTGCGTGAGAGTGCAACACTTACGTAGAGTAACGAGCCTAACAAACAAACATTTTGCTGACATTGGTCGTAGTTGAAACTTGTGTATTATGATGTGTAATCACAAGCTTGAAATGTGCCGTATAGATATAAATAAGGAACACAATAATTAGTCAGGATTGACCAAAATTTACGCTGTAAAATTAACAAATTAAATCTGGTCCCTGCAATGTCTAGGATTAAATGTAGCCGTAATTTGGTGAGCGGCACGCCATGACCAGGCACCTTGGAAGGCGGTTGGATGCGATTTTTGGAGGCCTGCTCGGGGTTGATGAAGCGGTTGTTCTTGTTGCCCATGTAGTCCTTGAAGCTCGGGGTGCCGTCGGGAAGATCGAAAGGCGTCTGCATGTCGGCCAGGAACGCTTGCTTCGAGTACCTGCAAGCAAAATTCAATTAAAATTCAACAACAAATGAAACAACACGGGACAGTAGTTCCCGAGCAGCGGATAAATTATACCTCGAGCATCATTTATTATTTATTTTCATTTATTATTTAGATCACCTTTTTATTAAATTATACCTCGAGGTAACAGAGAGGCATTTATTTTCCATTACCGACGTCATATATGGAAAGGGAACACGATTACAGTTATGAGATGAATTGGATGAGAGGGCGAAAGACATTGGGCTAGCTAACGGACACTCGTCTGTTACACAAATGGAATAATTATAACAACACAAATCAGGCCAATATTTTCAGCACAGTGTATAGGAATTCTGCTCACCCAAGCTGCATTTTGCTGCCGAAGAAGCTGGTGTTGTTGAGGTTGCCGATGGCGCGTTCCACAGCGAGAGCGTCTCCCATTTGGACCATGGCGCAGCCCTCCTTCGTCTTTAGGAATTTAATCTGCAAACACACGAATACTTAATATGATAAATAGCATGCAGGAGTAGAAGGACTTGACACCTTATCTGGCCCTGAGCTGAAGAATCATGATTACAAGACATAATCCATCTAACCTTAAAATGAGAACACATAAAAACTCAGCGAGCCATGTTTGCTGTCAAACTAGACAACTCTCATCTGCTGACAGTGTTTCGCTGCTTGCTTTATCATGCATTTCTGCGCCACGAGACACGCCTCAACCACGTCAGCAAGAGACACGCCTCAACCACGTAAGCAAGAGACACGCCTCAACCACGTCAGCAAGAGACGCGCCTCAACCACGTAAGCAAGAGACACGCCTCAACCACGTCAGCAAGAGACACGCCTCAATCACGTAAGCAAGAGACACGCCTCAACCACGTCAGCAAGAGACACGCCTCAACCACGTCAGCAAGAGACACGCCTCAACCAGGTAAGCAAGAGACACGCCTCAACCACGCAAGCAAGAGACATCAGCCACCTAAGAAGAACGCAATACCCTGACGACGTTGCCGTAGAGGCAGAGCAGGTTGAAGAGTTTGTCTGCGTTCATGCGGTCCTTGTTGAGGCTGTAGACCATGAGCACGGCCCCCTGCTGAGGGAGTCCTGGTGATGGTCCCCCCATGGGGGACATGGTGTTTGGTGGCCCCCCACTGCCCCCCATGAACGGGGCAGCTCCCGCTAGGCCTGCTGATCCCACACCGCCTCCCCTCTGTCCACCGTTGTTCATTCCATTGCTGTTGTAACGGCTGAAAAGTAACGGACAACTTTGTAAGCATGTCGCCAATCCTATGTGTAAAGATCAAATTTTAATTTCAAGACAGATTCCATCAAAACATCAGCAATGGAGACCAAAATTTTTATTTATGTCGGTTTAGTTGTAGGTATCACCAGTTATCATTTGCCAAAATGAGAGCAAAGAATCTGTTAAAGTGGCGCGGTAGAAAAAATACATGTCACCCCAAAGGGAATAAAACACCTGTAAATATCACCACTTTAATTAGATGTTAAATGTAATTTTTAATAGTCAGACCCGGTACCTGTTGAAGCGCCTGTCGCGACCGCCACCACGACGATCGTCCCAAGAGTCGAGATCCATGCCACCGCCGCCACCGCCACCTCCACCACCGCCGTAGCGGTCAGGCATGCCGCCGGGGCTGTTGAAGAGTCCGCTGCTACGCGGGGGTCCGCCCATCTGGCCGTTCAGTCCGCCTCCTGGTGGCGGCAAATAGGCAACCAGGTTAAAAGTCACTTTCCGTTAGTGAAGGGTAATTAATAGCAACGTATATTTACAATTAGTTAACAGTTATTATTTGTTAATAGTTACTAATTGAAAGTAATCAAAGCATTAATAATTGAAAGGCATCAGAGAACAAATACATGATATATAAAGCGTCGTCGTATGTTTAGCAGAAACAAACAAGATCGTTTAAAGTATGGCAAAGCAGGCGTGTCATTAGAAGTTCTGCTCAGCTTACGATCAGTCCAGAAAATCTCGACATTCGACTCACTTCAAAAAACTAACGGCCACAGTGAATATTGCTGAATATTAGGTTTCTTCATAGTAACCGTTTAGCATAGTGGAAATAAAATATTATACCGTTATACTGTTGGAGTACGTGGACTAGTATATACATACGACTGGCAATGTTAAGGTCGTGGAGTGGAGTCCGTATTGATCTCTCACCCTCACTGTTCCACCCGTAACCCTCCCACCACTCAAGAGATTAAGCTTTTATTTTAAGCGTAAGGATGGCGCATAAGTATTCGTTAGATCCATTTACCTGCTAGGGCAAGAACCCGTCACCCAAGCCGCCTTCAGATTAGAGGTAGCAAGACTACGGATAATGAGGATCATAAACCCATTGGACGGGAACTTAAAGGTATTCAAGTGTCATACACAGGAAAAGTGTTCTCATCCGTGACCTTAAACATTGTTGGAAGCATGCTTAAATGGTCTGAAGCAAACTTTAATAAATATTCAATAGTTTAGCATGTAGAGGGAAATACTGGAGAGAACGCACGCGCAGCAAAGTCTAGCCAAACTGAAGTCCTATGAATTGCACGGTTGGTTTCGAGATGAGGAAGTCAAGTGGCATACTATATTTTACTTTAATCAATTTTATGAGAAATGATACTCAACTCACTCGCAATACATTCAACATTGATTAAAATTTAATCACATATCGCTAAAATTTAAATGATAAAGGTTTTATAAATAAGTAATTTGCTCACCAAAGCGGGGCTCCTGCAGCAGGGGAGGGCGGGCAGACCCTCCGCTGGGCTGTCCCTTGTGTTCCATCGCTGTACAAGACGATCACGCACTCATTAATTGATTTATACGCTCATCAAGTTAGGCGAAACAGTAGTTCCATTGAATATAAATAATTAAATAATCATAATTTTATTTAAACTCACTAATTCATATTGACACGTTACGAAATTTAGAAAGAGTTTAAAACCTATAAAAGGTGAAACGCTATATGATGGAAATTATATTCAATGTGCGTATATTAGTAGCGGTAAACGTGGCACAATAATGAACCTGCCACGAACCATAATGAACCATAATAATGAACCATAAACGTGGCACAATAATGAACCTGCATGCAATTTGGTCTTGCGAGATGGAATTCATTCTAATGATATTCTTCCCAGAGTTAATAATTAATTGAGCAACAAATGTGCTAATCGTGTCTTTTTATTGAATGATGAGCCAAGTTTTTAGTGTTTCCAATCAATTAGGACCAAGCGCTTTACTAATTGCATTGATGATACAAATAATTTCACTGTGAAAAGTTCATTCATTCATATAAAGTTCTGTTTGGCGTAACTTTCTACCTCATTGGTCCGATATCAGGAAGGAGAGAGGCATCAACAAATTTTGCACAAAGTCATTCAAGTAAATTACTTCAATTAAGATTCATTTAATGAAACTACACGTGAGAACCTATAAACATGGTATAGTCACGACAGCTAATGAGTGTCACATACGTGCAAGGCAAAGCAAGCAATCACGTACCTTCGTCTGGTGTGAGCGTAGAGCGCGGCTCGCGTGTCTGCTCTGCACTCGTCAATAAGTGTATGAAGTGTCGCTAATTATTATTATTATTAATAGTTATCCCAATAATAAAACGTTTCTGCTCCCCATATGTCAATTGGTGTATGAAGTGTCGCTAATTATTATTATTATTAATAGTTATCCCAATAATAAAACGTTTCTGCTCCCCATGAGTCAATTGGTGTAAGAAGTGTCGCTAATTATCATCATTATAAGTTACCCCAAGTATCGGATCCACATGTCAATACGTGCACAAAGTGCGACATCGGGCGTGCTTGTGATGGCCTATTTGGAGTGGAGTCCGTATTGATCTCTCACCCTCACTGTTCCACCCGTAACCCTCCCACCACTCAAGAGATTAAGCTTTTATTTTAAGCGTAAGGATGGCGCATAAGTATTCGTTAGATCCATTTACCTGCTAGGGCAAGAACCCGTCACCCAAGCCGCCTTCAGATTAGAGGTAGCAAGACTACGGATAATGAGGATCATAAACCCATTGGACGGGAACTTAAAGGTATTCAAGTGTCATACACAGGAAAAGTGTTCTCATCCGTGACCTTAAACATTGTTGGAAGCATGCTTAAATGGTCTGAAGCAAACTTTAATAAATATTCAATAGTTTAGCATGTAGAGGGAAATACTGGAGAGAACGCACTAGCAGCAAAGTCTAGCCAAACTGAAGTCCTATGAATTGCACGGTTGGTTTCGAGATGAGGAAGTCAAGTGGCATACTATATTTTACTTTAATCAATTTTATGAGAAATGATACTCAACTCACTCGCAATACATTCAACATTGATTAAAATTTAATCACATATCGCTAAAATTTAAATGATAAAGGTTTTATAAATAAGTAATTTGCTCACCAAAGCGGGGCTCCTGCAGCAGGGGAGGGCGGGCAGACCCTCCGCTGGGCTGTCCCTTGTGTTCCATCGCTGTACAAGACGATCACGCACTCATTAATTGATTCATACGCTCATCAAGTTAGGCGAAACAGTAGTTCCATTGAATATAAATAATTAAATAATCATAATTTTATTTAAACTCACTAATTCATATTGACACGTTACGAAATTTAGAAAGAGTTTAAAACCTATAAAAGGTGAAACGCTATATGATGGAAATAAAGCAATCAGGGAAATGTCGGCAACATTCCTAAGGTTAAAGATGACGATTCCCTGTAGAAAAGTACTGGCGTAGTGCCCATGGCGAATTAGCTCCCTATAATTGTGCCGTATAACGGAAACGCAGCTTTGCACGTCAGTATTTCGAGTATAGAGAGAGCTGAGTAAGTTAAGACGTAACGAGAATAGAATCCAAGTGAATAGAGTTGAAAAAAATAAATCTACTTCAGAAAAAAAGATTGAATTAAGAAGTAAAAACAAACGGCATCGAATATTGAAAAGAAGGTGAATCGAGTCATAAATGAGTAAGGAAAATACAAAGTAAAGTTTAATCGAGAACATGAAATAACGACAAAAATGACGGGTGCTCCCTACAGCTCTGCCACGCAATATATTCAGACAACTGCGGCTCCTCGTAAAACCTCTGCGCTTCTAACTTTCATTCTTGATAAGGAGACATGCCTAAAACAAGTTGTAGACCATCAGCCTATGACAAAAAACAGGGATTGAGGTCTTTTATGTTAAAAAAATTAACAAATATCATAAGAAAGTTTAAATAATTCCTTAAAAGAAATGAAATCTAAAAACTAGATGGAAAAACTCTCTTAATCTTAAGGTAATATTGAGCATAAAGCGTTCATTCTGATGTCACGAATCGTATAGAAATCATAGACTTCCAAGTTTATTATTTAAACATTTTAATAGCCAAGCGAACGTCAATCACCAAAAGTGGGAAAAAACAATTTCATATTAACCAGGAGCCAACTGCAGAAAAGTTCTTGTAGATTAAAGTGCGGGACTTCGTCAGCTATAGGGAGGTCGCTTTTGGTCAAAAATTTCAACGAGTTGAGATAAGTTCAAGTTCTTGTCCACAAGAACAGCATATTTGTGACTATGTTTTTGGGACTACTGCCCATACCAAGATAAAATATTCGAGTCTTGCAGTGAATGCAATAATTGCCACATGAAAGCGATGATGTACAAATGCAAACCGGTACACTAGATCGTTCGCACATTCCAAATCATGTACGAGAGAGAACAGAACATGGCGGGGCATTCACTGCCTAATTTCACAAATTTGAATAAACCTGGAATTTCATAAATTAAAATAACTCGAAAATTCAGGAAGCTCAATAAAATTTAGGAATGCTTCATTTCTGGCACTTCACTTAGAAGAGAAACGAGTCTAAATTTCGTTTGGGGAGCTTTTTAGCGCATTTTCTCATTTATGGAAAAAAGGCGCTATTGTGCTCGTCATGTCCGTCCGTCCGTCTGTCTGTCTGTCCGTCCGTGACTTTACGTTTTAGTCGACGAGAAAATGCGCATCTGTCACTCACTGCAGTGAGTTATATATTTTTCAAGAGTTGTGTCTGTCGGCAGGAACCCACCTGCGAGTGGCTGGTGATGGACATAACGCCGGATCAGGACGCACTACCGACCCAGGGCAATGCCCATTGCAGATTGAGCACAATCAATGCCCACATAGCAGAGAATGTCCTCGAAGCACTTAGTAACTCTCCTGCTCACAAGACAACACACGGCTGCTCAAAATCTTGAAGCAATCACTAGAGACGTGCTTTGCTGGCAAGGTTTTGGCAACATTATACAAAACCCCGTAACTGACCAAAAACCTTCACGATTTCTGGCAAGGCTTTAGAAAAACACATCTTGATATCACGGCAATAATAAAACCGATTTTTTGGCGCTATTCACGTGATTAAATGGAATCTTTCATCTAGAGTGAGTTTATTTTTCAAGTACGGAGTACAGTATTGTTGGTCAGTAACGGGGCAAGTATATTGAACAAATAACACAGGCGAATTAGAATTAACGGTACAGCCAGCTCTTGGGCTCCAATGTGTGAACAATTGAATAGAAGGAAAGTGTACAGGAACTCTTGTTTTTGAGATTTGGTAAGCGTCTGTGTTATATTTGTTCGTTTGTTGTTTAGCAGCCGTATGTTGATGCAACCTACCTGGTGACCAGTCTCTACCACGTGAATAAACACAGTGATGCAACCTTCAACTGCCCGATCTTATACACTTCTCACGTTGAAATATTGTTATGAATGAGAGAGAAAAGTTGTGGACCCATAAGTGAAAGGTTTACTCATATTCAGTTAGGAATGTCTTCATGAATTCGAAGTCGACTCGATCGGAATGATGGATACTAGAATATAAATTTGTTTAGAGATTTTAATGCTCAAGAGGCTTGATATAATATTTAATCACCTTATCACCACTCACCGAAGTAAAATTCATGGACACGACTTCAGATTAAGGGTTTCAATGAATGCGTGAGTTACCAATTTTTTTGCCAGGACCGATGTTAAATGCCTTCACGCATTATGGAGGAGGTCTTGGATATGAAGTCAAGAAACAATGCGGGTCTCAATATATACGAAAAGCTTCCAGAACAAAACACGCAAAAATTGGGGAAAGAAGTTATACTTTGCATGAAGTATATCCATATGGCATCTCAAAACATTGCACCTTCAGTGGCCTAGAGATAAAAAAGGAAATTAGAGTGTAATATATGTTGAAAAGCAGAACATCTGCGAATCAACGGAAGATATCAACTAAGAAAGCAGGGAAGGGACTACCTTAACTGACCGCAAAAAATATTTCGTGGATAAAAATCGCAATTAACTTGATCTTAATCGAAAACTGAGATCTTTCACCAAGCAAGAATGTAAAAAAAATATGTAGAAAACCTTAAATAGTCGTCATGATTCTTTCATTACATATAGAGCCCCCGGATTGGTAGGTTCTCTCAATGAGCATTGAGCAGTTGGAGCTTGTCACCTTGTCGGTGAGGCTTTTGAAATTATCGGCTGTTAGATCTGATCAGAGTAACAGTGAAGGTATCGTGGGTACTTCTTATACAGTTTTGATTCAGGCATAACAATTGACCTATGATGTTGGAGTGCATATTGTCGGCAGAGAAGAACGATTTTTCATTGCAGACACCAATATGATAATTGAGTTTTAAAGTTTTAATGCATGTTGCTGGCAGAGATTTGAAATATTACATTGTAGATATCGACATGAGGTATGATGTCAGAATGCATGTTGCCAGCAGAATGTTGTCGCTGTTATGTTCTGTGGAAAATATTAGAAGAAATCCAATCATGCCTGCCAAGATAGAAAGCCGATACCGTCAAAAAGGGATAGTTTAAACGTACAATAAAAACTTGTGAAATAAAGTGGAAAAAATGAGATATAACACCCTCAGCATGATCAATCAAACGAGTCAGGCAGCTCGTTTGACGACACTCAGTTCATAGGATATAAAAATGATGCGAGTGAGAAAAAGTTGCTGGAGTTGACGTCGGTGTTGATGTTGAGATATAGCGACCACTTGCGAGCAAACTTATGTAATGAGGAACCAGAGAAAACCAATCCTTGATTTCATCATAAATCAGGGTCCAAATAAACCCCACTTAGAGTCAAATGCACACCAAGTGGACGCCATGACCGGCAAAATGGATAGATACTTATAATGGCACAGTGAAGGCTGCATCTTGGTTGGTATCTACAGGTATTAAGGGAGTTGGTTGAACGTACCTCAGGTGTCTGGTGTCCAAGGAGAACATGTATCAGTTATGCATGACTGTAGGAATAGTCAACTGTCGCGTGATGGTACATGTAGGGCTCCGATATGATGTACTCCGATGTGATGTACAAGTGGAAATGGTAATAATATTGCAGACATGCTTGCTCACCAGAAAAAATGTGACTAAACACACTAACACGTCAGTTCTGTTATCTTTCGATATTTACTTTTGGGCTGTTACACGGAGAGAAGACGGTGCCAGACCATAACTCAATTTTAGATAGGATTAGCAAGTAAAATTTATTAATATTATTTGTTAATAATAGAAAAATTTTAAACTACCGGGAGAAACGTGCCTGAGGAGCTCGCGTTAAAATAAAACACATATTCACAAGTTATTGTCGGCACCGTTTTCTTTCCGTTTAGCTTTGCACGTTGATGCAAATTACCAAAAAATCAAAGTTTTACAGATGTTGTTAAACAGAAAGAGCCAAAAGCCTTCATACCGACCCAAAACTAGACACAATTTTAAAGCTTGAATTTTCTGTACATAAGATACCCAAATCAAAGATGGCTCACCACTCCACCTGAAATCATAACATTACTTCTGTAACGATCATACCGGATGATCGCCAGTACAGAAATAAAGTTCACAACAACCCCAACTCTCGCAGCCGAGTAGTGGCATTGCAGCATGTAATTTGATAATTGATACATGCTGGCTTATCAATTAGGTTAAGGGACCGTCTGGGTCGAAAATCACCATAAAACGTTTTTTGGTTTGCGTCATCTCTTATAGCCAGAACTAAGACAATTCTTGACATGAAGGTCTTTCTTTGGAAGCAATCACTTTTGGTTTTTCCGTAAGGAATTTTTGAATTCATGAGAAATGAATTTTTTTACAATTAGTACATAGATTTCTTTCAGAAAATTGTATTTATCGATCATTTTACGCGACAATTGCCCAGTTTGAGTGTTCATTTTAAAGCTACAAAAAAGGCGCTTCTAACAAAGCAAGTTGCATGGATGTGCGACCAATAGATCTTATAGGTGAGGCAGTTTTGAACTTTTATAAACGAACATCTAAAACAAAAATTTACAGTATTTCGTGAATATTTTTCTAGATTATTATTCGTGTAAATTACACAGTTTTTGGACTCATTTTGTACCTACAGACGAGGCGCTTCTTACAAAGCAAATCGCTAAGGTTTATGCGTGAAAAAAATTTATGAAATGACAATTTTCTATGAATAAATTTTAAAGAAAAATCGCATTTATAGATTATTAGTCACGTTTAACTGAACTAGAATAAATCATGCGGCGAGTGATGCATGGAGGGACAAATGGCTAAAAAAAAGGAAAAAGGGCTCCTACATTCGCTAGATATTTGCATTACAAATAGAATAATATATCTCTCGGTGTTGTAGCACGCAAATTGAATAAGGATTAAGATTTTGAAAGGTACCCTCTTCTATGCAGTTTTTATGAATTTTACGTCTTTATTTTTATAATTATATGAGCAAAAAATCTCTTTTGTTTACTCTTTGACATTGTGTGCGAAGTTTCACAAAGATCCGTCAGTATATACAGAACTTTTTTCCAACCCAGACGGTCCCCTTCATTTCAACTAAGTTAATGTATATCACATAAGCATGTATAATATCAAGCCCTGGATATTAAAAGCTCTCATTCAAAAGGAATGGCATTATAAAAATAGCTTCAGAAAGATGCGTCTTAATTGAAACTAATAGAAGAGCCGGCTTTTTTACCTTATAAAACTTATGGTACAAAATAAAAGAAGATACGTTAAATACAAACTACGAATAAGATAAATACGCGTTACATTTGAATGTATATGTTGAATACATAACGGATGATTGAAGTCTAAAAACAGTAGCATTAGAACACTTGGATAAATGAGGTAAATGACGGGGCAGAAACGTAACTCTGTTCTTATTTGCTTCAGATTCTTTTATCGTGAAAAATTCATTCAGAGGCGAAACGCCAATCTCCACGATACGAATCGTAAATGTACCGGCCTGTCGAACAGCCGACGACGCTTGTTAGCAATTTCGGTAAAAAGGATTTAGAAGAGTACATTAGAGACGATGACTGTATAGAGCACAATATAAACAATAGTAAGACATAAAACTAAGTGCAGCGTCAAATAAAACTAAGTGTAGTATGGATTATAAAACTAGGAGTAGCGTTAGGTACAATTGCAGGTATAGCAGGGTACATAAAACTATTTTTAAGCGCTATAGGTATCACCGTAATTTCAGCATGAAGTAAAACAATAAGATTAGCATTATGTACATTCAGCATTTAAGAGTAACGTTATACATAGCAGCAAGTGTAACATCAAATATATAAGTATAGCATTAGACATTAAGTTTAGCATGGAATATGCGAGTACGTATAGCATTAGACATTAAGTGTACCATGGAATATATGAGTACGTATAGCATTAAGACATTAAGTGTAGCATCAAATATATGAGGAAGTATAGCATTAGACATTAAGTGTAGCATGGAATATACGAGTAAGTATAGCATTAGACATTAAGTGTAGCATGGAATATACGAGTAAGTATAGCAGGGTTGGCAATGATTAAATCAAAATGATTAAATCATGTGATTAAATCACTTGATTTTTTTATAAAAAAATCATGATTTTTTTGATTTTTTCAATATAAACAATAGTAAGACATAAAACTAAGTGCAGCGTTAAGTAAAAGTAACTGTAGCAAGGAGTATAAAACTAGGAGTAGCGTTAGGTACAACTGCAGGTGTAGCAGGGTACATGAAACTATGTTTAGCGTTATGTACAACTGTAATTTCAGCATGAAGTAAAACAGTACGAATAGCAGCACGTACATTCAGCAGCAAGTGTAACATCAAATATATGAGTAAGTATAGCATTAGACATTAAGTGTAGCATGGAATATACGAGTAGGTATAGCATTAAGACATTAAGTGTAGCATGGAATATACGAGTAAGTATAGCATTAGACATTAAGTGTAGCATGGAATATATGAGTAAGTATAGCATTAATAAGACATTAAGAGTAGCAGTTTAGTGACGGTAGTGAGGGTCGTGACATACTCTGCTCACCCGCGTTGGTGTAGTCCCAGCTCTCGGAGTCGTTGCGGTAGACGTTCAGCTTGGCAGGCTGAGCGGGGACATCAGAGGTTGCATGATAAATGGCATGAGGGCATGGTTATACGCTTATTGAAATCATGACTTGAAAACAAAGTTAAAAGTGCATTGAATAAGATGCCTGAGGAGTATCATATAAACAGTAATGGAGTGGAGGCATAGTTATACGCTTATTTAAATCATGATTTGACAATAAAGTTTCAAAGTGCATTGACTAAAGAGACTGAGGAGTATCGTAATGGACAGTAATGGTGTGGAGGCATGGTTATAAGCTTATTTAAATCATGAGTAAACAATAATTTTTCAAGTGCATTGAATAAGGAGACTGAGGAGTATCGTAATGAACATTAATGGAGTGGAGGCATTATAGTTATACGCCTATTTAAATCATGACCTAACAATAATGTTTAAAGTGCATTGAATAAGGAGACTGAGGAGTATTGTAATGAACAGTAATGGTGTGGATGCATTGTTATACGCTTATTTAAATCATGACTTGACAATAAAGTTTACTGTGCATTGAATTAGCAGACTGAGAAGAATCGTAATGAACATTAATGGTGTGGAGGCATGGTTATACGCTTATTTAAATCATGAATTAACAATAAAGTTTAGTTTAATGTGCATTGAATAAGGTGACTGAGGAGTATCATATCAACAGTAATGCTATTGAAGGATGGTAATACGCTTAATTAAATCATAACTTAATAATGTTTGAAGAAAGTGCAATGATTCTGAGAAGAATCAGAATGAACATATAGAATTATTGATACTTAAAAGTTGACGTGAGGAAAGGTTGGATTCATGAGCGAAGACTCTCAAAAATCGAGAGCGGTTCGCCATTGTGTTGAAGCGGCCAGGTGGTCAAAAGGGTATTGCATGTGTAAGTACTAAAAATGAGCGTGAGTTTGGCTCTTTGATAGCAGTGGTATTTCCGATGGCATGGCTTAATGCATCTAATTTAAAATTAAGTGCTTGATACACTTATTAAGGTTAAATAAGACCATGAACAAGAATCTTGTATAAACGGTCGACAATTGATCTAAAAAAATCCTAGACAGTTCGGCAAGGAACTGGCGAAGCGAATGTCTGTTTATCGCATCCGGTATCTTAGAAAGTGTATAGGTATAGAAGTAATTCACGTTTCGCGATAAGACTTGCTGAATTGGTGCCAGCTGATGCCGGACAGAGGCCTTGGCGTTTTGACGAAATGAAATAGATTACTTAAAACTTCGCAGCCTTGGACGGATCGCGTGTGTGATAAAGCTTATCACGTCTACGAATCGCAACACGAACGTAGACAGGATCCTGCTGGTCATCAAAACAAGGGGCTGGCGCTCTCGATTGTAGACTGGATAAGAATTTAAATGTTTACCACGCTGCTTACCTTGGCATACTCGACACGGAGCGTGCAGCAACCGGCGTAGATATCGGCACCATGGAGCGCCTCCCGAGCACGTGTCGCCGACTCCACGTTCTCAAATCTGCGTCTGGTTAAGGATTCTAATCCCTTCTCTTTGACAGTAAATTTATATAATTGAATTAACGCTTCAGAGGCCGTACTATCAATCATTTATATCAATTATATAATTTAATTAACGCTATCAGGGGCCGTTTGGAATTGGTTTGTTATAGCTAGAGACTGGTTGGCGGAGTTACGAACTATTAAACTATTGATAGTTTAGTACGGCCTCTGACGCACATGTTGTACAATGACATACATAAGATCCAAACTCTGTGGTCACATGCTACACGATGTAACCAAGCACACATATTGCCATATAATTTCGATCCTATCAAGCGTTGTACACATTTAATGGTAGTAGCACCCGACCACCGAGTAGTAGGACGCTTCATTTTGAATAGTATTACCTGCCTACTAACATGACTACAATATGGTAGCGTAACGCGTAATAAAGGATACTCAACCATGCACTGTACGCCATTCTTCTTGAAGATGACGATGCGCAGAACATTGCCGTGTGGCTGCGTGATGGTGTGGATTACGTCCTGTTAATAACAACATTGGTTCATGTCATTGTTATGTTGATGCAAGCAACATGATGAGCTTAATAAATCTAAAGTCATTATCACTACATTATGTAATGATAAATGATTATCAAATCATTTGATGATTAATGATTATTTAATGTCATCATATAATTATTATATTATATTATAATGTCATGTATATACAATTATATTATATAATGACATTATAATTCCATTATATAATCATTAAATCATTTGATGATTTAATGATTATATTTTAATTTTTTAATTTAATGATAAATGATTATCAAATCATTGGAGAGAAAAAGTCACGAGACAGGCTACGTTTGACTCACCACAGTGATGGGGTAGGCAGGGTTGATGATGGTCATCAGGATGACATGGTTTGGCTGTTCAGGCTCTCCCTTCCTGTAGGTAAAAACCACGATCGTTATTTAACAATTGCAAGCAAGAGATGCACAGCTTTTCTTCCAGGACAAATAAAAATTTCTTGAAGAGCTATGCCAAACTTAGAAGCATGGTTGGGTCATATTACCCAAATAGTGCCACACTCTCTGCACGAGCAATGATACACACTTTGACGGGACTAAACTGGGTCCATATGACATGTACATTGTACTAAGGCTAAAAATGCCTCGCAGTTTGAACAAAGCTTCACTGATTTCTCTGAGTGCATGCTGGTCTGATGTGAAAAAAAAACGATGACTACCGACAAGAAGATTAACGCGCAGTCTGATTAACGACCTAAATAAAGAATCTCGGCAATGCCCTGTTGTCATAATTACGGCATACACAGAGAACGTCCTGCAAACAGCATATGAGAGGCAACAAAATGAGTTAGAACACTCACAACAACGGCCTATATTGAGGAAACACAAGATGTCATGTTTACGGCCTACACAGGGTAGCAAAATTGACGTACATTTACCAACAAAGATGGCTTGCACGGCACAACAAAATACAGAGACTCACAGAGGACCTAAATACGCGCAATTAACATTCTACGCAAGCCACGTATAAGACGCGCGATCCTCTCATGCACCACACACGTGGGAAAGACGGCGGCGATACGACACCACGTACCCGACAACAGCAGTCTTGCACTTAACTCCGTGCACAGCAGAAGCGGTGGCGTTTTATTACATTATATTGTTGAGCGATGGCGTTTTATAATAACATTATATTGTTGAGCGATGGCGTTTTATAATAACATTATATTGTTTAGCGATGGCGTTTTATTACATTATATTGTTGGGAGATGTTCAATCGAGCGAAAGCTCTGGCCTAAAGAGAGAGCATACCGAGGGAACAGCGAGATGCCTTGCACGTCAATGAGGAAACCTCTACAACTTGAAGTAGGGCGCAAAACGACGAAAATGTTACGCTTGGTTCGTGGTCATGTTGAGCGTTTTATGTACTACAGACGGTGAAGAAGCAAAAAAAAAAAAATGAGTCAATTTGAAATTTTTCATGATAAAAAGTCGAACAGAAACAGGACGTTCTATTGCGCACTTATATAAATATAAGGCAATTGAAAACGTTGCGACTGAAGAATAACACTCATAGGATATAATGGAGAGGCCTGGCAGTGCTCTCCGGATTGTGACTGCACACAAATGCTAATCTAAAAGTCACATTCCAGGATAATAATAAACTCCGTATATTATTATCGCACGAGTTGTCTTATAGCAAAATCTTTCATAACTAACTTCAATTAATTCAAGGATATATCGTGGAAATTTCGTACGGTAGTATAGTAATAGTGCCACACTAAGCACGTTCATGCTAAGTAGTTGTGCCATGCACAACTACTTAGCATGAATGTGGTTGATATTGATAATGTCCCCGGTTGTTAATGTCTGTGGAATTGTCTGCGATTCTGTGGACCACAACGATCCTCGTCAGAGATAAAAACAAATAGGCAAGTTGATGGGAGGGCAAGCGTAATGGGCAGGTGCTCTTATGGGCGTGGAGTGTCGAGATGGAGGGGGAAATGAGCCGGAATATGAGAGTGGACGGTGAGAGGGCAGTTGAGTGGAAAGGAAGGAGAGGGGTGAGTGAGGGGAGCCGTGGCATGAACAAGAGCAGCAGCAGCAGCAGCAACCAGCAGCGGCACAAGGACATTCGTGGTGGTAGCTAAGGGATCAATAACAGCAAAGTACAGGCTTTCAGACTCTCAACACACGTACACATACAAACACTGGACGTACACGGGGTATATACGTGTATTGTTTACCTTCGATGGTCCATGGTCGCGCACACGCGTCCGGCGAGGCTGAGAGTTAAGCTACCACACGCCGGTTACACTTCGCACGTTTCACACAAACACAAGATGGAGTTTCATCAACGCCTTGTCAATACTGAGCAGTTGAAACGTCTTATTGATTCAGGAATAACAGAGCAGCAGTATATTTTAAATACTGAGACAGAACAGAATGAGATGGTTATGTTCTTTGCTGTTGTTATGATTGTGTTGTTGGCATACGGCGTTGTGCGGTGTAATGATGGGAGGCGAGGTTTGCTCCGTTGCTGCAGTCACAAGAAGTATTTTTAAAGCCTCGAAGTTGAGGTAACCTCAAGCTGGTTGTACCTATAGGTTCTCTCTCCCTACACAAGCACGATGCAGAGAGGAAGTGTATGGAGAGTAAGTGGTGATTGTGGTGCTTGTAGGTGATGTGGTTAAGGTGGTGTGGATGTAGCAGTAGCAGCAGGAGCGGCAGCTATGTGTTGCTGTGATGGCTGTAGCGGCACTGGCTTGGGCGGCCAGTACGGTCCGCACCACCACACGTCGCACGCACGCACGAACGCCACACTTGCCACGGTCGCCGCATCCGCTCTACCGACTCGATCTCGATACCATCGTCGATAATATTACTATACGGCGGACGACAAGTCCACTGCTTTGTTTATATCGCAGATAGCAGCAGATAACAGTCACTATTTAGCAATAAATAACGTGAATAATGAGGCGGGAGGGTTGGCATCAACACTCCTCACTCAGCCGTTCCCCTCCGTCCCCAGCTCACCATCATCTGCACCTCTCTCCCCAGCGCGCACCACTCCTCCTCCGCCTCTCTCAGTTAGAGTGCGTCCCCCATCCCTGCTTCCCAACTGCCGGCAGTGTTTATGATTGCTGTAAATACTCGGATGCTGCGGAAACAAGTGATGCTGGAAAGCAGGCTCAGGTGCTGTAGCAGCTTTTACGCTACTGGAACAGCTGTCGAATTATTGTAGCGCACAGCTGATGAACTTAGACAGTGGCTCAACACTGATACAAGTGTTGCACCGTTATTGTAACAAGAGAATTTGGACATTATTATTATAACAGGATTAGGTACTTGTCAACATGTATGAAAAAATACCAGCATTGTTGAATAACAGCTTCTGCGCCAGACCTTCAACACAACAGTCAAATTGCGTTTAGTGTGAATTGGATGCGTCAATACATCTGTAATATAATAACTACTGAATAACGTGAAATTAGATTTCAGCATTTTCCGAGCGTATTGTAAAAAAAAATTTGCTGTAAACTTGTATTTGTGACATTGATAACGAATGTGATCAATCAAAGCTTGAGAGAGAGAGAACGTTAGCTCTAAATAGCAATATATATTAATGGAATATATTTCAGCAATGGACGGTGGCTGCGAAGGAACTTAACCAGCCAGGAAGCGATCATATCGTTCCGACGTAAATAGAGAGTTGTTAATTGCAACCACTTCCAAGCATAATGCATAATATTGCCTGTAAAATTCAGCAAATGATAAGACGCACCTGGGGTCGCGATAAGCGCTAATGGAGAATCTGAATGGGACAAATACTGAATTGCTAGAATAGAGGACTTCAACGCTGCTACATTATAGTTTTTTCGTAAAAAGAACGAAAAAATAGCTACGCATATTTACGAACATCGTTGAAGACGATAGGACAAGCTTGCATAAGTTGATTGAAGACAAAGAGCTCGACAAGACACCAGCTGAACAATTGAAGGCTTCCTAAAATGCCAAAAGAGAAGCATGAATGTTTCAAGTAAAGTTTATGCAGTCGCGATAAGGTTAAGATTATTAACAGATGCTCCGAAAGAGAAAAACTGGATGATCTCGCCGAAAGAGCGTTTCTTTTTTCGTTTCTACTATTCCTTAGTCAAGTTCTTTTAGACGCATGTTTTCACAATATCGATACAGTTAAAAACATTTAAATGTTGAGGAGCAGTCTGCCTCGCTGTCAGCTAGACTTGAAAGTTTACATTCATGCTAAGCCATTTCACAAGGATTGGGAAGTAACATCATCTTCACACTCTAGACTTTTTTTAATCGATATTTTCAGGTTAAGCCATCATTTAGAGAGAAGTGATGACATTTAGATGAAAAGTGCAAAAAAAGTAGGGCAATAGCATGAGAAATATTTCAGGGCAAGTATCATAATATTTTTAAAATGGCTATGAAATTAAATATACTATGACTTTTTCCCAGTACAAGTTCCTTAAAACGGAAAAATTACTCAGCAATAGTGAAACGAAAGACGTTCTACCGTCTCCATTCTATAACAAAATTCGCAAGTAGTAGCGTAAAAGCTGCTGCAGCAGCTGAGCCTGCTTTCCAGCATCACTTATTTCCGCAGCATCCGAGTATTTACAGCAATCATAAACACTGCCGGCAGTTGGGGAGCAGTAGTGGGGTGCACTTTAACTGAGAGAGGCGGAGGAGTGGGAGTGGTGCGGACCGGAGTGAGAGGTGCAGATGATGGCGAGCTGGGGATGGAGGGGAGCGGCAGAGGGAGGAGTGTTACGTGAAGTGAAGGAGCTGCTGCCAACCCTCCCGTTCCATTATTCGCGTTATTTATTGTCAATTAATTGCTGTTACCTGCGATGTGAACAAAGCTGTAGACTTGTCTGCCTTATAGAAATATTATCAGCGATGGTATCAGCGAGTTAGTAGAGCGGATGCGGCGACCGTGGCAAGTGTGGCGTTCGTGCGTGCGTGCGACGTGTGGTGGTGCGGACAGAACACAACCCCTGGTTGCCAAACTGGCGATTTTATAACTAAATTTAGCTTATTTCACAGTAAAAAAAACTATCATTGCCTTTACCAGAATCTAGCGAAATAATGCTACTAGATTCCCATTGCATTTTCCAATCAATTTCTTTTAATCTGTGAATCTGTTGTATACATCTCGAAAAAGGAGATGAAAAATTACAAATAATTATATTGTTTATGGGCCTATACACAGCTGGTAATAATGAGACAATACATAGCTGTACAAAAATGAATATGAATAGAAAAGTTAAACGTGTTTCACCGTAGAATTGACTGACGTTTGGCTGTTTGAGTGCTGCTCTAGTCACACTCCTGCCGCGGTCTGGAGTTGCGTCGAAAACGGTTCACTCTTACGAAGCTATGTTGATAGAATTTATTCTTAATAATTGACGAAGGCAAACATAATGATAAACTTACATGTTACAATTCAAGAGCTTTGTTCATGCATTTAGGAAAAAAAGTAATCTGCAATGATATGAACAAAATTCCAAAATTTGTGCCTTAAACATGAACAATTTCATGACTAATGTTGAAACTTGAAAGAAACATGAAAAAGTTATTTGAATATTTAATTTACACCGGACATTTTGCGTATTACATAACCAACAATAATGATTGTCTGATGTTCCTTCATTTTTACTTATTCAACGGAATAACACATTTGATTAAACCGCAAAATTGGAATTATGTCGATGATCACATATTTTTTTACGAGGCACATAAAATGATTTGTATAACAAATAACAAGTTCAGATGAAATTAACCGAAAACTAAAATACGCATTTACGTCGCTCCTGAGTGATTGGAGGCAGCACACATGGAAGAAAATATTCCATAATTATTACCAGGGAATCAATAGTAAATACATAAACATCTACACTTCGAATATTGCGAGACTGGAATGGGTTCAGGGCAACGTCGCTTGCTAGCCTTTTAAGAAAACACCACCAGCGGCTCGTGCGAGCGAAAAACATGTCGAGGCCATGAGCAAAAACCGGAATTTGCTCATTCGAATTTCGATGGCAAAAACAGCAGGGTTAAAAACACATTGCCAGCCATGGTTGGTTGTACATTATCTCGCCAGGGGTTTATCTCGTAAAAAATTATGTGCTGGATGGAATATTGAACTGCTACGTGCGACATTATTTGAATATAGTGTTATTAGAACATGCATTATCGAGCATTTGCACGTGAAGGTTCCCGAAGGCAGAAAAAGTAAGCAGTAATCAGTCTTGGACTCTAACCTGCTCCATTCATAAGCAGACGAGGAAACTTTTTCCTAATTATCAAAGCTCGCGGAGCCGTTCGCTAAGCTTTATGCTACAAGGGTTCGTTAAGTTAGTTTTTGAACAGTGAGTAATCTCCTTAAGATCGTGGTTCATTATACTCATTCCACTACCATCCTAGCAACTTAAAAATCGAAATCTTCTAATTTCGACAGCTACCGCCAGCGTTTGCTTCAACTCTAGCCGGGCTTGCAGCGAATTCTTCTTGGAACTTGGGGACAAAAATATTGTTGGTATTTCACCCCCGCAGGTCACCAAATCCTAAAGGAGGAGTTTCATACGTGGTGCATTAACGTGACAAAAGAATGCAAGTTTCAATTGTTGGCTTGATTAGCTGAAGAGAAAAAAGTGGGCAGCGCACCAAGAATATACGTGATGGCCAGCAGTCACCGAGTGGCAATGCTTACCGCAAACCCAGTTCATTTGGCGAGTACCCGACTAGTGGATCCGTGTTGATTTGTTGATCCGTGCCGTATACATTACTAGAAGAATATCTTCTGCACTCGTAGATAGGAAATTGCCTGATTTTTTTTTATTTTTTTTTTTGTTTCGAGTTCAGTGAAGCACACACATCAACACTCTTGAGTACGAAGACGCTATCACTGTCAGCCATGCCATTGATAAACAGAGCTAAGTGCAACTGAAGCTCAGGACGAGTCGAATCACATTCAAGCTACGTACTGTAATAAAATTACCAACGCGAATTACCTTAAATTACTCTCAAGACCAAGGAAAAGAGGTTTAACAACAAAACCTATTGAAATTCATAGGTCGTTCTCGAAGTAGGGACACGCGCGTACACTCTCGAGACATGATGAATTCAACTCATCCAATCCATTACATGACAAGAAATAATCCTCGAAACCTCTGTTATTTCGTATAAGTGAACAACCCAGTGGCTTTCGGGGACCACTGAACGGCTTTATAGAGACAACCAGCGATCCTATAGAGTATATAGAGAGCCATGTCGGATGCTCGAGTTTACACGGGGACAATACGGGTGGCTGGTATAAATTTCGGAGGCTATCTGTCACTAATTGTCGTGCTGCTGGACTCGTTGTCAGTCAGAATCCATCGCGAGCATCATAAAATATGTAAGATTTTTAAATCCACGTTTGCAGCGCAGCACAACTCCGTACAAATTTAATGATGCAATGTTGGATTTTTTTATTTTTAGTGGCTACGTACAGCGATATTTTGCTTGACTCAGCGTTTTACAAAACACGAGTGTCAGCATTCAAGTAGCTCGAATTGAAACTTGAAAGCCAAATTGTAAACTGTAAAAGGTCTGCCCCCACTATCATGACAATGTGTACCAAGAGGCTAACAGGAAAGTGTTAACATTGCCAAAGTAAAAGCAAAGTAGAAGCTGGAAATCTTGTTTATTTGGTGTCTTTGTCGAAGGCGAGCGAAAGCTTTGCGAGCGGCAGA